TGGGATTCGCTCCATAGCTATAGGGCTTTATCTAGGTTCGTCTCTCTGATTCCATAGTGGCCCATTGGTGTAATTCATTGCCTCTGGTTTGGTTACGCTCAGCAGATCAAAACGCACTCTCGACAGACCTTCACATTGGCATAGCACTTGTGTAGCTGTTTCCTCCTCTTCTTGGCAGAATCGGCATTTATTGTTTTTTTCCACTCTCAGTAATTTTTCCAACGTTTCTTTTGTAGTTCAGGTGGTCTGCTGTAAATTTGGTCTATAGATTTATAGATAGAATTCCTTGGCGTTTCTTTGTTCTGGCATATCAGTTCCAGGATTCGTTTTCCATACATTTTTTAATTGCTGATTTTGCAATGGGTTTAGCTACTCGACAAAAGGGATCTGGTCCGATCATGCGCCTATGCGACCCGGTACTCTTTCTTGAGTTTTTGAGCCTTACCTGATTATTTCTGTCGTACCTTAATGTATTTGGTAATGCCTAGGGAGGTTACTAGACTTTCTTGGCATTTACCGCAAAACAAAGTAAACGAATCATGGAAATTACACTATATCGTTATTATACTATATGTATTATAAGTTAATTAGTTTATCCGTTTTGCATATATACATATAATAAAATATTTTGTCAAATTTTTTAACATTTTTCGAAATACAAAATGCCTGATCTCTCAAAAAAACATATGGCTGTCATAGTTGACTGTTGATGAAACAACCTAATACCCTAAGACGCTAACATAGCGTCAGACGTGGCAACGTCGAGCGCCTCCCTCGATTACGCTTTATAGACGTGACTACCCGCCCCAACGGCGCTGTTTCCCAGACATGCGTCGCAAAAAGCAGCCAGTCCATCACGACCGCCCTTGACAATGGGCACGTGACAATCGCCCTATCGCTAAACCCCCCTTTAAGCCCTTTTCACTATTAATATATTTCTTTATGGCGAAGCAAAGGGAAAAGTTGGGTCCTTCGAGCCGAATTGTCGGATAGTTAGACAATCCGACAACCAAATAAACTCCTCGATAGAGTCGACGCGTCGACGAGTTTGCAGCGGAGCCACTTGCAAGTTCGTTTGATATTCGAAAAATCGCCGACACGAGTTGGACATGCGTTCGTCGTGCTTCGGAAGTTTGGTGAGATAATTCCAATTTTATACAGTGTTTGTGCAAACTAAATTTTCAAAGAAAAACGATAAAACTAGTTTTTATACAAATAATAATGCTCGCAATTCCAAAATCAAAGTTCATGCATCTATTGCATTGGGGAAGGTCATCGTATCTATACGTGCTACGGATTTAATAACATACCGATGTCTGAAAAACAGGAATTTGTAAAGTCACACAATATTTGTTCTATTTGTTTATACAGTAAACACGTTGCTGAAAATTGTCGACTAACAAAAAAATGTTTGATATGCCAAAAATCCAATCATCATACACTTTTACACGTATCAAATGCTTCAAGGCCTATTGCTGAAACTTCTAGATACTCTAGCAGTGTCCAACAAACATTTTAGAGCAACTCTTGGAATCCGTCGACATCTTCTGACGCGAGAACTCCAAAAAAATCAATCTCTTTCACACGCTTCAACATCAAGTTCTCAAATGCTATTAGCTACGGCTTTAGTCACAGTATATTCAAAAGATGCAACTCCTATTCAAGTCAAGGCTCTATTGGATTCTGCCAGTCAAAGCTCTTTTGTAACTGAACAGTTAGTTTCAAGGCTAAAGTGTTGTCGATTTCCGGAATTCCCGAAAATTGTGCAGCGTCACATAGAATGGTATATATGGTATATGGTGTATACTCTGACGTCAACCCTGATGTGGAATTTAAAGTCACGTGTGCTGTTCTTCCAAATATTACTTGCAAATTACCCCAAGTAAAAGTTAAAAATATTAGAAAACATCGAACTTGCAGATCCACATTTTCATATCCCCGAAAATATAAACATGCTCATTGAAGCAGACCCTTATTACGACATTCTCAATGAAGGATTAATTAAGCTAGGATCTAACCTGCCAGTTCTTCAAAATTCCCACTTAGGCTATTTGATAGCTGGAAACGTTCCAGCGGCGACTACTTCGTTCAGTGTTGCCACTAACTTTACGACCGTTGTACATGGAAAAGTTTCCATACTCGCTCAAACCTCTGAGTTAGAAAAGACAGTCGCAAAATTCTGGGAACTGGAACAAATTCAGTCTAAACCTTCTTAAATGAAGAAGAATCCGTTGCCGAAAAAATATTCACTTAGACTACTGAAATCTTAAAAAGTGGTAGATATCAAGTTTGTATTCCCCTTAAATCTCCCACAGAATACGAGAAACTCAGAAATTCTTTCTCGAGAGCATCAAAACGATTTATGACCCTAGAAAAGAGATTCGAAAAGGATTCCTCTCTTTTCTTGGAATACAAGAAGTTTATCGATGAATTTGTCCAACTAGAACACGCTAGGAAAATCCCTTTAACTTTGAAAACCTCTGAAGGTTACAACAAATGTTTTATCCCTCATTTGTGCGTCTTGAAAGATTCAAGCGTGACTACCAAATTAAGAGTCGTATTTGACGCCTCTTGTCCGACTTTTTCTGGAATATCCCTAAACGATACAACTTTGAAAGGTTATCGAGTACAACCGGAACTTTATCATATACTTTGCAAATTCAGAATCTGCAAGTTTGTGCTAACTTTCCAAATAATCCTTTTTACAGAACATTCTTTGGCGTGAGAAACCGTCGCTCCCCTTTCAGTGTTTAGAGCTTTTAGTTTTAACATACGGTATGAATCCCTCCGGCTTTCTCGCCACTCGTGTACTAAAAAAATAGCCATGAGTTCTGGTCGTAACCTCCCATTAGGTACTGATGCATCGTTGAATCAATGTTATATAGACAATATTTTCTCTGGTTGCAACAGTTTACAAGACTTGCCAATTTTGATCAACAAACTTAATATATTATTGAATCGCACAAATGGTCCTCAAATTCAAAGAATTTTGTTAATCAGATTCCCGACACAGCAGATCTGACTCTCATCATGAATTTAGACGATTCCCCCAGCAAAATTCTCGGTCTAACTTGGAACTCTGTATCTGTGTGTTTTTTAGTTTCGACCCCACAGAATTCATAGAAAGGTCTGATAACCAAAAGAAAAATTTTGTCCACAATAGCCACAGTGTGTTGACTAACTGGGTAATCCCGTTATAGTCAGGGGCAAAATTCTCATGCAAAAACTTTGGCTTCAAAAGTCGAGTTGGGACGCGGAAGTCACAGAAGAGTCGATACTTCTTGAATGGAAGAACTTCTGTCAAAATCTCAACATACCAAGACCACTCTTTTTGGATAGAAAAATCAAGAATATTGAGATGCATGGTTTTGCCGATGCTAGCATGAAAGCTTATGCTGCTGTACTTATTTAAAAGTTGTGCATTATGATGACGCAGTCTCTGTGCGTCTTGTATCTTCCATGTCCAGAGTCGCTTCCATCAAGTCACTGTCACTTCCAAAATTAGAATTATGTGCTATGTTGCTCTTAGCTCAATTAAACGAGCAAATTGTGAATGCTTACTGTAATAAACTAGACATTGCTTCTGTCAGTCTTTGGTCAGACTCCCAAATTGCTCTAAGCTGGCGCAAATCGCACGCCAGCCTGTGGAATGCATTTGTAGTCAATCGCGTATCTTAAATTCAAGAGTTGACATAAATCTATGAGTGGAGACACGTAACATCTGCAGACAATTCTGCTGATATCGCTTCGAGAGGTTTAGGTCCTCAAGACATTCTAAAATCCAACCTTTGGTGGAGTGGCCCTAAGTTCCTATTAAATCCCGAATTAAAATTAAACAAGTTTGATATTGGTTGCAACATATTTGATTTGCCAGAAGAGAGAAAAGTCATTTTAATAGCCGAAAGCAAATCTTTAGTAAATAACTTTTGGTACCAAATTTTTTCAAAATTTTCACGATTTTTTAAATTACATCGCACTTTTGCTTTTTGTTTACGCGAAACCAAAATAAACACGTTGGACCCGTCTCCATTCAAGAATCAAATCGTGCATTAGACAAAGTAGTAACTATTATTCAACAACAAAATTTCTTCAAGGAAATTTCTGATGTTAAATCTGGAAAGCGGATTTCAATTAAGCAAATTTTATCATTGAATCCGATCTTAGATAATGATATTTTCATAGTCGGTTGCAGACTAGAAAAAGTTGATATTCCTTACGAGCAAAAACATCTGTAATATTTAGTGATCACGCTACTAATTTCCAAGGATCCAGACATAACCTCAAAGAACTTTATCAATTTTTCAGAAATAAAGATAATGTAAACTCCATTCGAAATTTTTGGGCTTCCAACAAAATAAACTGGAGATTCATACTCCCAAGTTCCCTACATTGGAGTGGCATTTGGGAAAGTGTCATGAAAGCGGATTGTCGGAAACACAGTATTGACTTTCGAACATCTACAGAGTCTTGACTTAGATTGAAGCCATAGCTTTGTACCGTCGTCGCGTTGTGACTGAATATAGTTTATGTTGCGTTAAACGGGGTGCGTGCGTGCGTGCGTGCTTGCGTATGTGTGTGCGTGCGTGTGTGTGTGCGTGCTTGCGATGTGCGTGCGTGCGTGCGTGCGTGTGTGTGTGTGTGTGTGTGTGTGGGTGTGTACGTGCGTGTGTGTACGTGCGTGTGAGTGTGCGCGTGCGTGTGTGTGCGGGTGAGTGTGCGCGTGCGTGTGTGTGCGGGTGAGTGTGCGCGTGCGTGTGTGTGCTTGTGCGGCTCCGTGTGCGTGTGTGTGCGGGTGAGTGTACGCGTGCGTGCTTGTGCGACTCCGTGTGCGTGTGTGCGGCTGCGTGTGCGTGTGTGCGGCTGCGTGTGCGCGTGTGCTTGTGCGTGTGCGTGTGTGTGCGTGCGCGCGCGCGCGCGCGTGTGTGTGTGTGTGTGTATATATATATATGTATTATATATTATTTATCATTATATATTATTTTCTTTTTGAGGATTTTTAGACTGGCGTTCCGGTGGTTTTGGGAAGTTCTTACAAAAATATTGGAGTCCAATCGTTGATGGATGCCGTAATACTTTATTTACCCTCGCCCTCTCAAACGAAACATTTTTATTCAGCATTTGAAGATAATTTTTGCGGACGGGCATTTAAAGTTAGGCATGACAAACAAAGAGGACCTTTGGTTTTTTTGAGAATATATAACGGATTGATTAAGAAAAACCAAACCATCTATAATGTACAAAGAGAGAAATCTGAGGCGGCCGGTAGAGTTTACATAGCGTACGCGGATGAGTTTCAAGAAGCATCTTCGGTTGGAGCTGGCAACATCGCCGTAGTTTCGGGGCTTAAAGTAGGTATCAAATTTAAATATATATATATATATATATATATATATATATATATATATATATATATATATATATATATATATATATATATATATATATATATATATATATATATATATATATATATATATATATATATATATATATATATATATATATATATATATATATATATATATATATATATATATAACATAATTTTGTTGTTATTTGTTGCTTTCCACCAAACTAGAACTATTTACAAACAACTTGTTTTGTTTGAGTTATGCAAGTGCAAGGCAGTTTTCACTTCGATGGGGTGTTCCCTAGACACTGTCAGTGTATATCAACATATCAACATATCAACATATTTTACCAAACACATATGATGACACTATATTCCGGGATATCATCCATTCGCTTGTTGAACTCCGACTGGAATCCTGCATCTTCTATGCTCGCGCTCCGAAAACACTTCGAACACTCTGCCACTCACCAAAAAGATCGTGTTTCGTCAAAATATGTGTTCAATTAAAATGTTTTGGTTAGTTTTTTTTTTTGGTTGGTTTTTAAACATACACTCACAGTGTCTAGGGAACACCCCATCGAAGTGAAAACTACCTTGCACTTGCATAACTCAAACAAAACAAGTTGTTTGTAAATAGTTCTAGTTTGGTGGAAAGCAACAAATAACAAAATTATGTTTTATAATTGAACTTCTTTGAGTTTTTAAATCGTTAAATCGTATATATTCGATTGTTGTACATTTTTTCGGGCTTTAATGGATTTTAGAAAACGATGTCTGGCGATTTATTAACCTCCTCGTTATCAACATATCACAAAGCACAGAAAAATTTCGCAAAGTTATACAAAGAAACACAAACAGATCTGTCCGATAGTATTTTCGGTGGTACGACTTACATTCCGCCGCCAGTGTTTTTCTGTTCAATCGAGCCTTCCAGCATGGCGTCGCAAACGGTTCTCGAAAATGTTTTGGCTGAGTTAGAAAGGGAGGATCCAAGTTTAAGGGTGACTTATGATTCCGAAACCGGTCAAACAATTCTGGCAGGTGAACTATTGAAGATCAGAGTCTAGAGTCAGAAGCTAATTTGTGTTGTAGGTATGGGCGAGCTTCATTTGGACATAATAAGAGATAGAATAGTTAAGGAATACAAGCTCGATGTAGACCTGGGACCTTTACAAATTGCCTATCGCGAAACACCCGTCGAACAAGTATCAGAGGTTTACGTCAACGAATCTAAAATAGGGAAATTCCGTCAGTATGTAAAACTCCATCTATCAATAGTTCCGGGCGCAACGCAGAATGACAAAGATATTTTAAAGTATGATAAATCGCCGGACAACGCCAGCAACATCGCCGCTATATTTCCCAAACAGCTTGTGGCCCTTAAACATGGAATTTTAATTGGTTTAACGCATGGTCCCAAAATCAGCTCGCAGGTATATTGTCATACAACGTCACTTCATTTTCAAAATATTGATTTTTGAAAACGTTGTAGGGTTTTCTTTTTATTATGAATTAGTGGCAAACGATAAGTAATACAAAATAATAATACAAAAAATACTTGTGCAATTTGAGGATAGACTAATTATGGGTCCATTAATATGAGAAAATCCTACAATGTGTGATATTTATCTACGATGGTTCAATTTAAGAGCCAACTATAACATCAATCTGCAAGTGGATTATTTGCAAAGTGATTTTTTAACAATTCAATAAATTCAAATAAATTAATTTGTCCTGCAATATTTTGAGGAATTTAAATATCTGAACCACTCAATTAAGATTTCTCAGAAAATTCCGCAAATATGTTTTGGTTTTTATTATGAAAAATAATGCTGTAATCGTAGTAATAATATTTTGATTAACTATTTAGTATAGGATAATTAATTAAAAATAATTAAATAATTAAACTGCAAAAATTCATTATGGCTTTCTTAAAAAGAAATAAATTTGAAATTTTCTGAATTACCAAACCGTTCTGTAAAAAAGGAAATCAAAAACCTAGCATGCCTGGAAATTTGCACTACTTATTTAGGGGGTGATTCTAAACGCCAGTTTCGTATATTTACGTATGCTTATAAATACTTCTTTACTGTGTGTTATAGTGCTATGAAAAGCAATGAAAAATATGTTTTTGCACAATTCAGATTAAAATACAACTCGAGAACAGTTAGCCAAGTATCACAGTCATCCACTGGAACTATCAGTGCAAACACGCAATATTGACCAAAAAATTTTGACAATAAATTAGCTCAGATCATTACGAATATCTCTAGGGCGCGTAATTTTGTATATGTTGTAACTTGTATATACTTTTTTGTTTTGTTATTTCTTTTTCATGTTCTGTCTAATTGTAGACAATGTGTAGGGCATTTTATTTGACCAGTCCCAAAAGCAGCTTCTTCGAACAAGAACATGGCTGCTGAATTATTAAAAATATTTATGTTTAATTGCAGGTTATGAATTCGCAAGTAATACTACACTGGCTAGAGGTCGGGCGAGGAACTTCCGAAACTTTTTTGTCGGCCACTGCATCGCAGCTCATTAAAAAGGTATTTCTCACAACTTCACCATATTCGTAGGATTAATGCGTCGAGAATTGCCAAATGTACGGTTACCGAAAAAAAAACTCGACATTCGTTTGCGGCAAGCATCTCTCACAATAAAATTAATATTGGGATTTACGACGAGTCGCACAGTGGATCGAAGTATAGGAAAATCCGGACTTCTTCACTAATAGGGTTTAATCCGGCTTGGGTTAAAGACACTTTCATACATTCAGTTTTCGACCAACCTATTTATATGTACGGTATATTACTAAAACAAATGGTTTAGATTCTAAACCTCTATACCAAATTTGAAGATACTTGGCTAACGACGGTTTTCTCATTTTTATTTAGCATAGAAACTTGTTACTGATAGACATAGATACTACAAATCTTATTAAAAAAAATTTAAAATCCAGGACCCCCTTTGATTTGTCACATTATAACAAAGACTGCTATAGAAACGTAATAGCAAACATTAAAAAGCAAATTTAAAACGCTTTTGGAGTATGTTTCCAACAAGTTTCTGTTTTAGTATATCTTGAAAGCAAATAAAAAAAAACATTAAAACAGGGAACTATGTTATTTGTTAGTGAATCGTTATTAAGAAAAAATTCCTAAAACCAAAAATTGCCATGGACGGAGGGAAGTCGACCCTTAAACGTACAAGGAATTTTTGTTAAAACAAAAAAAAGTAGAGAACATACTTCTAATTTTTCTGGCAATTTGGGCGTTTGAAAGTTAATATCTATTTACTAAATACATTCTGGTTAAGTCACATACAATAGTAACCGGATCCACACTGTGTACGTATTATTTCACAGGGTCCCAAGTTGTCGCAGCTAATCTTTGCGGAAATCGTTTTTACAAGTTTTGATCTTACTAAAACAGCTTAGCCATTTTTAGTCATTTTTTTAAAAAATCAATAAAACTTAGGAACCTAAGAATTCAAAATCATTAGTAGAAAAAATTTTGTATCACGGAATTCAGAGAGAGTGTAAAAATTATATTTATGCACTTTATGATTCCTAGATATAAATTTTCAATGTGTCTTAAAGTGTAAACTTTAACTCCAAAAACAAAAAATTTTTTTGTACTATTGAAATGAAGAAAATATTTTGCCATACTTAAGCAATATAGACGTAACCTTAAAAACGTTATATTTTTTTGTCACTCTGTAGGTATCCAAAAACTTGCTATAGTGTTTTCTAAAAAGAACAATTTGTTTACATTACAACAACGTAAAATTAGTCCATTCGAATCAAACTTGAAATGTCGTCAATGTCCGGCCATTTGCATTGCCTTGTTATACGGCGCGTCGTTGAGAATCGTTTCACGTAGCCGTAGAATGTCCTTTATTGCCTTTTATATTAGGTGTTGCTAGGCAGGCCGCCCCAATAGTGCGTCAGCGTTTGATATCTTAGAAACGTTGGTGATACAACGTCCGTATATATTAATTTCTTTCTATTGCCAACGGTTTCCGAGATATCAACCACCGGACACCCTGTATACTACTAACAAAATTGAAAATCATAATGAACTATAATATAAAAATCTAAATATATCTACAAATTTTTTAGTGACAAGATTTTTTAATGCCAGCGAAATTATACATGATGATGATACATCATATAAAATAGCACCGAAAAAAGGTGCTGAATGAATGTGGTGTTGAAGACCAAGCCACGAAAAAAAAGTCAACAACGCAAAAGGCTTTAAAGATTTCTCTAATCGGACTCCGTGGCAGCTTCGCTAAATTTTCAATAATTTGTCTGGAAATTTTCAACCCAATTCCTCCCACAAAATCTGTTAGAACATTTTTTAAGTACAAGCATCTCGAAATGGACAGTTCTGTTAAATTTCACTGTAAATGTTTCTTTGTATGGCTCGATACCTTGGCGCATCGGTTTCAATCCATATGATTTCGGACAAAATTTTCTCACTAGCTCAATAGCTAGTAACAGTGTTGCTTGTCTGCCAGCCTGAAGAAAGTAAGCTTTTCGAGAGGCCTCAGTCCTCTGACAGGATAAAGTCTTCATGTAATTATGACAAATCCCCGGTTAAGAAACTCAATAATTATCCAACTATGAAACCAGTACTACAATATTTGTTGCAATATGTATTAAAAGCTCACTTGTAAACTGGAATCCGTTATTTTTATTATATCTGTAATAGTTTTTATATACTGGGCTTATCACTTGACTTTACTTTTGTTAAAAAATGATAAAAACGGAATTCTTCTAACTTAATCTTTATTCCTCAAAACATGTGCACCACCACCACAGTTCCGTTGTTCCTCTTCGTTTCTGGTCAAAACAAAAAACACAGACCACAACCAAAAGGCACAGAATACAAAATAGACATTGCTAACTTAACTCTTGAAATATAAAATCATAATTTAACATACCTCCTTGATTTTATATCGTAAAAAAGAGATTCATTAATTGCCAAACACATTTGTTACTTTTAATTGTTGTTTACTGATATTTATAACGATTTTCTGGATTTTCTGCTGGTTCTAATTTTAAATTAATTTCTATTGGAGTGTGATAAGTTTTTGATCCATGAACATTATATTTCTGCGCTAAAGTTTCTATATAATTTTGCTGGTCTAAAAACATTTTCCCTTCGGGTTGATGTATGTCACTTTAATACCTAAGTACTTTGTTATCTTGCCTAAATCTGTCATCTTAAAATGTTTATTTAATTTACTCTTAACCTCGTTTATTGCATTTAAATCGTGACTAAAAATTAGTAAGTCATCAACATACAAAATTACATATATTGGCTTTTGATCAATTTTTCTCGGATATAAACAATAGTCATAATTTGAGCGAACAAAGATAAAACTTAACAGGAAATTATGAAAGCATTCGTACCAATCTCGTGGACTTTCTCTCAGACCATAAAGAGCTTTCTTTAATAAACATACTTTATTTGATTCCACTTTGTAGCCGTTTGGTGGATAAATAAAAGCTTCTGATTTGATTTTTCTATTTAAAAAGGCTGTTTGCACATCCATTTGTTCTATATTCCATCCTTGATTGCATGCTACTGACAATAAAACTTTTAAAGTACACATTCTTGCTACCGGTGAGTAGTCTTCTTGGTATAATTGTTGAAATCCTTTTGCGACTACTCATACATTATATTGTCCATTTGTTTTAATTCTATATATCCATTTAGTTTCGATAATTTTCTTATTTTCGGTTATATCAACTATTGTCCATGTTTCATTCTCCTCTAAACTTCTTATTTCTTCACTCATTGCTTTCTTCCATTTCTTTGCTTCTGCACCATTTGTTGCGTCTTCATAACTTTCTGGAATTAAAACGTTTGCAAAATTAACATAAACATCGTAATCATCATATCGTTTTGGTAGATTAACTTGTCTCTTTGGTCGACCTGAATCTAATCTTTCTGTGCTTTCTTCATTGTCTTTTTTGTTCAGTGAGCTTTCTACCTCCTGAATCTTATCCCTGTCCGTTTCTTTAACTTCTTCATTTTCTTCTGAATTGTCACATTCATAGGAGATACTTTTCCTTAAGCTTATATGTTTTGTGTCACTTTCAATAAATTGTACATTTCTACTAATTATCACTTTGCCGTCAACTAGAATTTTGTAGCCCAAGTCGGTGTATCCTACTAAGATTCCTTTGACTGCTTTTGGATTTAATTTTGATTCTCTGCATTCTTCTGGAATTCTAACAAATGCGGTGCTTCCATACAAGCGTAAATTAGATACATTGGGTTTTTTATAAAAAAGATTTCATAAGGTGTTTTTTGAACTTTTGTGTTTGCCAACAAACGATTTCCTATATAGGCAGCCGTTCGAATACATTCTGGCCAATAAGATTTATCAAGTTTTGCTTCAGCTAGTAAACATCTAGCACGATTCATAATTATTCTGTTGTATCTTTCCGCTACGCCATTTAACTCATGAGTATAAGGGGGTCCTGGTCGTAGATATATACCTTCTTTGTTAGTGAACTGGTAAAAATCTTTATTTATATATTCTCTGCCATTATCACAATGAATTTCTTTAATTTCCTTTCCCGTTTGATTTTAACTAATTTGACATATTGCACAAAACGATCAAATACTTCATTTTTGTGTTTAATACAATAAACTACCGCAATTTTACTGAAATCGTCAATAAAACTTACAAAATATTTTTCACCTTCATAACCTTACTGTTTTATTGGACCGTGCAAGTCTGTATGAATAATCTCTAGTATATCATTTGCTTTACTTCTATACATAATAAAATTATTCTGCTTAGTAATACAAGACACACTTAACAAATTATTTTTCATATTTGGCACAAAATATACATTTTTAATATTTATTTTTATGATTCTGCCACAAACTGCAAAGCATTAATATTACCTACCTTTTCCGATGTTAAGGAAAAACCGTCACCTACCTTGACATTTACTGGTTTTGTAAGTTTTATGAATTCTGAAAAATACTTCAGTATTTACTATGTGGTCCGAACAACCACTGTCCAGCAGCCATGCAATGTGATCTTCATTTGCTGGGGATTCTTCAGTTTTTGTCATCATAACCTCCACATGGAATGTGTAATTGCTTCTACTTTTGATGTACTTGCAACATGTCGACTGTCTTCTTCTCTTCGTTGATAATTACCTCGGCCTCGTGAATAACTTCTGCAATATTTTTGAATGTGCCCTATCCGATTGTACTTGTAACATTTTGGTAGATTTTCACTCTGTCTGTAATTTGCTGAACTTCCTTGACTTCTTGAGGTGTTTCTCTGATGTCTTCCACGTGAAACATTGAACACTTGTGACGTTTTATTTCCATTGTCACTCTTTCATTTTTGAAATTTTATATTTAGTTTTGATTTCACATACTCTACCGATTTTTGTTTTTCAGGTAAAGCATCTACAATGTCGACTATATGAGAAAAACTTTTTGGCAGCGCAAGCAGTAAATAGTTTAGTTTGTCTTCGTGGGTTATGTCTTCTCCTGTATTTTTGAGTTCGTTACATAGTTTCTCGAATTCATTGAAAAATTCCGTTGGGTTATCTCTTTCATTCATTTTTATATCTAACAGCTTTCTTTTACATAACAGCTTAATAGCACTACTCTTTACCAAATATAGTTCGTCTAATTTTTGTATCATCTTTTTTGCCGTAGGCTGTGATATAACTAGTTCCAGTTGTGTATTGTTGAGACTGCTTACTATGTAATTCTTTGCTCTCAATTCCTTTTTGTTCCATTCCAGTTCGGTGATTGTTTCAGGTCTTTCTTGCTTTTTAATTACATCTTCACAATCCTTCATTTGCAGCAGCAACATAAGTCGAAATTTCCATTTGTCCCTCGATCCATCAAACACTTGCAAGATCAGTTCGTCTTTCTTTTCAGTAGCCATTTTACTTCTCTTTTCATTTACTTTTTGATTTTTCAACAACCACTGACTGCTACCATGTTAAAAAATGATAAAAACGGAATTCTTCTAACTTAATCTTTATTCCTTAAAACATGTGCACCACCACCACAGTTCCGTCGTTCCTCTTAGTTTCTGGTCAAAACAAAAGACACAGACCACAACCAAAAGGCACAGAATACAAAATAGACATTGTTAACTTAACTCTTAAAATATAAAATCATAATTTAACAACTTTAAAACTGCTCGTTCTTTCCCGACACATAAGCGTTAAATACAAAGTGGTTACTTTGGAATTGCCACACTTTGCATCTCTTCTTTTTAATCTTCATTGCCCATGTCGCCCGTAATTTTATGCGATGTATATTGTGTAAACTGAAGCTTTGTTATTACACTCTTTTCCACAAATAGATTAATATAAGTAAAAGGCTATACCATTGTTTATGTCACTCTGTTATGTTTAATGCAGCTCTTAGAACAATCTGGAACTAATATACTAGAACCGATTATGAATTTGGAAATACTTGCGCCATCTGAACACGCGTCAGGCATACTGCACGATTTGGCAAGGAGGCGAGCGGTCGTAAAAGACGTTTCGACCCAAGGAAACACGCGAGTAAGTTTATTTTGTTGATATACGTAAATCCTAACGACCTTAATGAAATAATACCAAATAAACTTTTAACCGCTTCATCAAGCTTGGTCGACACAGAGTTGCCGTCATATTCATATTTTCCTTTAATCAAAATATTTTATATTATAAACATGTAAATATTTGTGACTTACAAAATAGACTATGTTTCAAATCTTGATTTTCTTGATGAACAAATCGATATTATTTTCTTATTTGTCATTCATAACAAAAAAACATAACAGTCAGTACTTCTAAATATTAATAATTGGATACTATGAAAATTTGAATATTTGAAGTGTAACTTTAGAAGTTTTAACACTTAATTGTTAAGAGCGGTTAATTTTGAAAAATTAAATTCTCATGCAAGAAAACAAAGTGTTACAAAGCCCCCTGATTAAAAATTTCATTTAAACCAAAAACTCGTGATACAACTATAACCTCCCACTTTTTTTAAAGTAGGGCTACCAACTGAATCGCGAGCTGGATTTTTAAATTCCAGATTGGCGAGGATGGTTTTAGGAATCGTGTCATCTACGACGTGACTAAAAGTTTATTTGGAATGAGTTATGTATACATAACCAGTAGCTAGATGGTGATTATCCTGTAACGTCATTGGTTTTAAATAGGTGATAAGCGCAGAAGTGCCGCTTTCTGAACTAATGGGTTATTCGACTTATTTGAGAACGCTGTCTTCGGGGACTGCCACATTCACAGCCGAATTTTTCGAATACCAGCAAATGAGTTCAGGAGATGAGCATATCGCTATCAAGCAAGTCAGAGGATTTTGAAATGTTAACATTACATTGTTAGTAAATATGACTACTTAATTATTCTCTTGTATTAAATCTGGCACCATTGTTTTATTATGGGATGATACCTTCTTTATTATTTACAAATCTTCTGCATCAGTCGGTTGTGGATGTATTGAACTCGATATATTGAAACGTTTCTCTTCTTGGGTTCTTCAGGCCTTAACTGAAACTATTCAGTTCGATAGTTTTCCCAGGTTGAAATAAGGTATCACCAACCAAATAACGTTTCACCAACAGTTTTAGTTAAGCTCTGAAGAAAGCAACAGTTCGATACACCAACAAGCGACGCGGCAGGAATCCAAAACACTTTTAAATATTATTGCCGTAGTCTGTGAAACCTTTTTGGAAAAATTGGGATTATTTCAAAACCTGGAAAAAATATTTAAAAAAAAAGGGCCAGGAGGTGTTACTCGTGTAAAGAAATTCCAGCATCCTGTAAGTGCATCCACACATCTTTTGTTTTTATGTTTTCTTTTATATTTTTGACACGATTTGAGACCATAACATCTGTGTCCGCGTATATAAGTATATATACCAAAACTAGGTACCTGCTATCACGAAAAAATATAAAAATGCAATTTTTATTTCACGAGATGTTTAGCTTTTTTATTCATTTTTGAAGTTTCTGAAAATGTACCTTACCTATGGAAATATGTATGTTATTGAAAATATTAAAGTAGTATAGTCAATACAATGCAAAACAAAACAAAACAGAAAAGACAAATGAAAATAGTATATTATGTAACAAGTGCGGTAAACGGCATTTGAGTCACAAGTTTTTAATAAACGAGTGACTTAAAAAGTTTACCGAACGTGTTGCATACTATACTTTTTCTACGACTGTACATTTTCGCAAAACAACACGAATGGGTTTACTGATATGACCGTCAGAATTGACAAACGTCAAAATTCAAGGCGTGGGAAATATCTCCGAAAACATCCGATTGCTCCCAAACCCGTGTGGTAAAATCCCGGAAATGCCCGAAATGGTTCAGATCTGTGGAAAACAAAACTGACGTGGTAAAGTGACGCTTCCCGCACGCTAGATCGGTGTGTAATGAGGGATTTTACAGACGGGAGTAGAAAAACCAGTTTACCGAACGCGTTACATGCTAGTCTTTTTCTACGATCCTTCGTTTTTGGGTACATTTTTGCAAAACAACACGACTGACATGATCGTCAGGATTGACAAACGTTAAAGTTCAAGCCGTGAGGAAAATCTCTGAAAATATCCGATTCCTTCCAAACCTGCGTGGTAATATCCCGGAAATGTCCGAAGAAGTTCGGATCTGTGGGACGCTTAGCAATAAGCAAAAATAATTTTAGACCAGATTATCACCGGCGAATGACTCCGCTGGTCAGCACATATGCCATCTATGAAAGGTGAAATAATCTGAACAGTCCAATAATATAACAAAATTTCGAGCACTTTTTGATAGTCTGCATTTAATCTGTTGATATCACGTTAGTAAACCAATTAAGTATAGTACTCCAAACACAACATGCACAACCACAACCATTAGTTGGACATGCACCGTGCTATTTTCACTCAGTTTTATTTTAAGATTCTTTGGTTGCTTATAGATTTCTATAGATACTCGGATTTTTGTGTGGAGATTTGATGTCCGGTTTCGCGATTGTGTAACTGCTGATGAGTTTATTTGTCGTAGTCTTAAAGCTTTTTCATGTTGTTTGAGCCTAGTTAAATATTTTCGTCCGGTCTCTCTTTAGCTCCGCCACTCTCAAACAATATGTAAGCAGGTGGAATGCGAGCCAGTTTCAGTTCAGCTCTAAAGAAGCCAACAGGGTGATTGGCGAAAAGTCATCAACAACCAACGCAGGAGGAATCCAGAAGATTTGTAAATAGTATTACTGTAGCCCGTTGAACGTTCCTTGAAAAATTAACAAGTCTCTATGTAGAGGATATCAAGTAGAAGCAGCAGAAAGAAGAAGAAGAAAGTTAGAAAATCACCACCGACTGAAATATACAGGGTGCTTCAAAAAAATGTATACACACTTTAAACTATTGTAGTTTTCCCGCTCTACAAGGCTAATGTTATATTTCTTCGCCAGGTGCCAGCATAATCGTCCCTCTATGTTATATTATCAGTTGGAATTTGTAATATCAACATGGGGAACGTACGTTTGAGTTTTGAAGAACGTAAGCAGGTTATTAAGTGGTACTGGAAGTTTGAGAATGTAAATGAAGTTCAAAGACAGTGGAGAAGGGAGTATGATACAGAATCACCTTCAAGATTAACAATTACACGCATACGAGACAAATTCGAAGTTCATGGAACAGTGTGTGATGTGCATAAAGGTCATTCAGGTCGGCCTCGAACAGCTACAAGTGATGAGTCATCAACGGCAGTCTTGGAACTGTTTCAACGCTCTCCTAACAAATCTTCAAGGCAAGGGGCACGTGAAAGTAATGTAAGTGCTAGCAGCGTGCTACGCATTCTGAAGAGAGGCAAGTATCGTGTTTACATTCCAAGGCTGGCGCAACAGCTAAATGACGACGATCCAGATCGAAGGTTGCAATTTTGTGAATGGATTCAGGAGATGGTGATACGTGAACCGGGATTTATGGGTAGCATCATTTGGTCGGATGAAGCCCAATTCAAACTTAATGGAACTGTCAATAAGCACAATTGTGTTTACTGGGGTGAAGAAAATCCTCACATTACAATTGAAAAAGCTGTAAATTTGCCTGGTGTAAATGTGTGGTGCGGTTTGTCTTCAAGGGGACTCATTGGACCTTTTCGATTTGAAGGCACTGTAACTGGTATTAATTACCTAACAATGCTTGCTGATTGCATATTTCCTGCCATTCGTGCATTATACTGTAATGATGATTTTTATTTTCAACAAGATGGTGCTCCGCCGCACTATCACAAGGACGTACGAGCTTACCTGGATCAAAATTTGTCGGGCCGGTGGATAGGACGCAGGGGGCCACTCGAGTTTCCAGCACGCTCTCCAGACCTTACACCACTGGATTTCTTCTTGTGGGGCACAGTAAAAGATGAGGTATACAAACATAAACCACGTAACCTAGACATTCTTTGGAATGAGATTCAAGCAGTGTGTAGAGAAATCTCATTGGACGTTTTGATACAATGTACAGAATCAGTGGTGACTCGTACTCAGAATTGTATTGATGCTGCAGGTCACCAATTTGAACAGTATTAACATTTGTAATTTATGTTTCATTTACATTGGACGTTCAGCTTTCTATTTTCCTGAAATTTAACTTTGTAGAACGGTAAATAAATTTTCTATGGAAGTTTAAAGTGTGTATACGTTTTTTTTGAAGCACCCTGTATTTTTACCATACTTCGAGAACGAAGTCATCACACCCATAAAGAAATTCAGCAAATCAATAAATTCAAATTCTTCTTGTTTGAAAAACTAACATCAACACGTCATACTTTTCTCAACAACCAAATTCTGTGATAAATGTATCATTGCCCTAATTTTTTGATACGGAGAAAACAAATTCTTTGACCTTATATTGCGCCTCGGTTGCCTTTCTTATTTTCGTAGAGATGGGAATGAGCGCATGATTCTAACCAAAAGAGATCATTTTAAATGTCGAGTCTGTCCTAAATAAACTGCCATCTTCAATCAGCTAATGAAATTCGATTTGAAACCACAAAAATCGTTTAAAAATATAAATCTCCTAAATCTAATATTCCAAAGCCAGATCGCATTGCTCTAAAATCTAAAAAAGAAAATGCTGCTGTGGTTATGAAAACAAGTGAATACCAGAAAAAAATTCTTACAGACGGATCCTATCGTCAACTTAAAAAAGATCCTACGTCGTCTATGGAAATCTTTTGTTCTCCATCAAAATCAGTAAAAATGGGCCCAAAACGAGATTGTCGTTCCCGATTTTCATAAGCTAATTTTGTTTAGCGATGAAGCGCACTTCTGGTTGAATGGCTACGTCAACAAACAAAACTGCCGCATTTGGAGCGAATCTAATCCTCAAGTGTATGTCGAAACACCGTTACATCCAGAAAAACTGACTGTTTGGGGCGCTTTATGGGCTGGTGGAATCATTGGTTCGTACTTCTTCAAAAACGATGATGGCCAGAACGTTACAGTCAATGATGATCGGTATAGAGCTATGATTACTAACTCTTTCATCATAATTATGATGTCAAGGAGATGTGGTTTCTCGGCGCAACATGTCACACAGCTCGTGCCACAATCGATTTATTGAAAGACACGTTTGGTGACCGCCTAAATTCACATTTTGGACCTGTGAATTGGCTTCCAAGATCTTGTGATTTAACACCGCTAGACTACTTTCTGTGGGGCTATGTAAAGTCATTGGTCTATGCGGATAAGCCACAAACGCTTGACCATTTGGAAGACAACATTCGCCGTGTTATTGCCGATATACGGCCACAAATGTTGGAAAAAGTCATCGAAAATTGGACGTTCAGATTGGACTACATCCGCGCCAGCCGTGGCGGTCATATGCCAGAAATCATATTTAAAATGTAATGCCACAAAATTATTTTTCGGATAAATAAAATTCATGTCAATCGAATAATCCACTGTTGTTTTATTGCAACTTAAAGTTCTATACATCGAAAAAAAACACCCCTTATTAGCATGAGTTGGATAACTTAATTGGCACACATACTTTAATTTTAAAATTACTCTCCTGTAATTTTTTAAAAACGTGCTCTTACCAGGAAATGGTCACTGTCTGCATCCAACCCTCGAAGATTTCTCAGGTCTATAACGGTACTATCGTGTCTTGGCATCAATCAGGAAATGATCAATCTGGTTTCTTGTAACGCCATCACTTGAGTCCCATGTTTGTTTATGATCGAACATTGTGGATTTAATAAGAAGATTATTTGATGTTGCAAAATCTACCACCTGGAGTCCATTGTCATTGCATTGTTCATGCAGGCTAAATTTACCAATGGTGGGTCTAAAAACCTCTTCTTTTCCTATTTTGGCATTAGTCTCCTTGCTTTGGTAATGTAGCAAAAACTCTTTTTAGTTCGCTAGGGGCGTGCACTTGAGTCTTATATAGCAGATACGTTTACTAATTGGTTTAAATTCAATAACAGATTCTAGTAAATCCTATCTTACTACGAAGCTCGTTCCAAATGTATGTTGTTGGTTAGGGTTTTCACTATGGAATACTACTAATTTACTAATTTTCTGGCTCCCATTATCTGTCCATCGTATTTTCTGTATCGCTGTAATATCCATGAAGGCCTGTTCAAGGTTTTCTATAGTTTTAGCAGCTGCTGCGGCTCGATACCAACTTAAGACATTGAGGGTTCCTATTTTCATGTCCTTTTTCTTTAGCCGGGGTCGTTGTTGTGTATCAGTCCAGTCCTGATCCGAGACATTTCGTTTGTTGTCATAACAAGGGTGCTTTTTACGAGATAGGGTTGTTAGCCCTATGCTCAACCCTCCTCCTTTATCAGGGTTTGGGACTGGCAGTGGCACCAACTGGGCTACTCATCCCACCCAACCAGTACCACAGGCGGAGTTGAAAAAAAAATTGAATTGTTATCTAAAATAAACGAGAGACAAAAAATTATGCAAAATACATGGAGAATATGGGACAGGGGTACAAGACAGCGCTTCCTTTCTGCATAACGTGCCGTTTTTATTTACAAAATTTAGAAAAGTGTAACTTTGTAAGTTTCAACAAAATAGATCTATAATACATGCTTGAATACGTTTTTCTGACTTTTTTCATCTAGGGTTTAAAATGGGCATTCAAAACTGTTAAGCTTGATGGGCAGAGTAGTTCTGATGAGGTATCTGAAAACGATAATGATGTAGAAAAGTAAAATTTTCCTTATTTATTAAAATCTTCCAATTTAAATAATGGTTCGAAATGTTTCTTTCTCTTTCAGCGCAAAAACGAATAAACTAAAAGAATTCTCTTATTTAAAATTAATTTTAATTATATAGGACTTTTTTTTCTTTATGTAACATAGGATCATGCGATTTAAATTAGTTATTTAAAGTTATTAATACAAATATTATTTTATTTGATTATTTTCTTTCGATTATTATCCGAACCATCCGAAGTATCTAGTACCACTCACGGGATGTCTTAATGGTCTCCAAGGAACATATGCTAATGCTCCCTACAACCCAAGAGCTTTATGGTCCGTTTCATCTGTGCCAAATATGCTTAGTTTGGAAGCACTGACGTGAGCTACACGAGCAATATGAGCCCATCAGAAATGCACGTAAACATTGCCACGCAGCGAAACTACCAACAATTTATTCGTATATCGTATAATTACAAAAACTAATACAAAGTATACTGCCTATATAAGTATAGTTTCTCCGTGCATCGCACACTCTTCAGATTTGCGTATTATATGTATGGATTAGTATTATTAATTAATTTTGTTATCAAAAAGCGCGCTCTATCGGCATCGCTAATAATTAGACGTATTACAAGATGGATTTGGTGGGTTAATAATAGCAATAAATCTGATAAACGACACTTTAGCAACGGGTTTGTTTTGGCAGGAACGGAGTGAGTACTTAATAAACGAGTGATTGAATAAGTTTATCAACGTGTTGCATACTATACTACACTTTTTCTACTACCATTAGTTTTTGAGTAAATTTCTGTATATGAACACGAATACCCACCTACATTCACTGAGTGTCAAATGTGAAAATATACCGCAAGTGGAATCATTAAAGTCTGAAATATTTTTTAAAGGAAGTGTAATTAAATGGCCACTTAAAACCGCTTTCCAAAATAGTCTTCGCTTTTCTAGTAAGTCAATTTATAATTAAAATGACAAGCATGTCTATGGCAAACTAGCAAGATCATAAAGCATTATCAAGAATTCTTAAAAATCAGAAAATGTCTGCTGCGGTTTTCTTTTCACCACCTTAGTCAAAAAATTTTCTAGATGCAGTATTGTGCACACTTATTTGGCCAGTCTGCATATACATGAATAAGAGCTCGTTCGATTTGTTGAAGACTTTTCACATATTATAAACCCTAACTCGGTCGCGAAACATTTCGTGTGCCCGCTATGGTATTTGACACTTGTCAGTGTCAACAAAAACGTTAAATTGAAACAAATAACGTTTTGTAGATGAATATTTTGTAAAATGATTATTTATGAATGTAAGAGATAAGAAAAATAAACACACCATAAGTGCCTCTAATATGTTATATGCATAAGATAGGCCAACGGTATCCGCCAAATTGCCCATTGCCAGGCCAGAACTTACAAAATTAATACCGGTTAAATAACAAATGTTAAAAATTATAGTCCTTTTCTAAACACAATTTTTCTGCTCTGTCTCCGCATTTTTCAAAATGGGCAAAAGGAAGGATCATGTACCGTCAATTTTTAAGGAAAAGAGCCTAATCGATTATCAAATTAGACACTCCGCATATTCTATTAACAAAGTAAATTTTGACAGCTTATTAGGAGCAAAAATTAATATTTATATTCCAGTTTGCTTAATATAATTTTTGTTAAAGAAGCATCATTAGAAAAAAAAAAACTGTGAAAATTCCTTATCTGTAAGCAAAATTTTCCAAAAAATTGAAAAGTGTAATAATCAGTCTACAGCGTTAAAAATCGTTCCAGAAAAAACCGAAAATTTGACCGTTACTTATTTATTTATTTATTTCCTAAAATGTTCCAACACCAACAAAAACTTTCCCTGTCGCGATAGAGCAAAGAGCATTAAAAAAAAGATGTTAATTGGTCTGCTTTAAAGTAGTACTCAATATAAGAAAATTTTGCAGAAACTTGGTTTTACAAATTCAAAGATAACGATTACGCCCTGTTTGCCATTTCAGAAAGTCGAAAATAATTTAAAGCATTTGATTGATTTACTTAATATATTTTTCTTCAAATTTCTAGGATCGTCCGTTTCTCTAATACCGTACCTCGTTGCCCTTACTGGGACACCCAGTATGTAACGCAAGCGAAAAAAAGAAAAAAATAAACACAGATATTGCAATAATATTATCCAATAATAAATTAAAAAACGCGAAATTGCGAATCAGATATGAACAATACCGGCATAAAAGGTCAACTTTTTAGTGTTGGTCTATATCAGGTGATCCAGGCGATAAATTCCCAGAGTTTAACGGTCAAATTTGCGGTTTTTGGCTGGAACGATTTTTGACGCTCTACGCTGATTATTACATTTTTCAGTTTTTGGGAAAATTTTGCTTACAGATATAGACTTTTCACAGTTTTAATTTTTTTTTCTAATGATGCTGGTTCTTTAACAAAAATAATATTAAACTAACTGGAATATAAATATTAATTTTTGTTCCTAATAAAAACTTTTTTTTTCTTTGAAGCTGTCAAAATTTGCTTTGTTAATAAAATATGCCTATATATATCTAATATGTCTAATTTGATAATCGATTAGGCTCTTTTCCTTGAAAATTGACGGTACATGATGTCATCCCCAAGTTCCTTTTGCCCATCTTGAAAAATGCGTAGAAAGAGCAGGGTGGATTAAAATTTTGTTTAGACTAGGGCTATAATTTTTACCATTTGTAATTTAAGTAAATTCAAAATTTAAATGTTTGCTTTATTTTTCGTTATCAGACAAAACGGGACAAAAGCGACGTACCTTATACAAAAGATAGTGTAGAAATCGATTCGGTTGGCTGATAACGAAAAATTCACGCACACACGCACAACCTGTATTGATTTTGTAAGTTCTGGCCTGGCAATGGGCAATTTGGCGGATACTGTTGGCCTATCTTATGTATATAAGGCTTACTGAAAATTCCTATTCAGCTGTTTTATGCCGCACTGATTGTGTGTTTATTTTGATGTATGATTGTTTATTTTTCTTATCCCTTACATTCATAAATAATCATTTTACAAAATATTCATCTACAAAACATTATTTGTTTCAATTTAACGTTTTTGTTGACACTGACAAGCGTCAAATACCATAGCGGGCACACGAAATGTCTCGCGACCGAGTTAACGGTTTATAATATGTGAAAAGTCTTCAAACAAATCGAATGAGCTCTTATTCATGTATATGCAGACTGGCCAAATAAGTGTGCATAGTACTGCATCTAGGAAATTTTTTGACTAAGGTGGTGAAAAGAAAACCGTAGAAGAGATTTTCTGATTTTTAAGTTGGTCGGCGAGAGGGTAACCTCCATCTTAAATTTTTAAAGTGATTTTTCTCTGAAATCTGCCAAGTAAATATAAAAAAATATATTAACTTTTTCCGTTAACACTTTTGCACCTACATATTAAGATAAAGTGCTGGGGTAATAATATATTTTTAAATTAAAAGCTGTAACGCCTAAACGACTAAACGGATGTTAACACATTTGTTTCGTTACAAAATAATGCATTTATTCTTCCATCGAACCCATCTAATCTGTATCTGAGTTCTTAGTAAATCTGTAAAAAATAAATGCAATAATATATGATATTTTTTTCATAGTCTTACATATCGAAAAAATAAAATTTTGTGTTCATAAATTTTTAAAAATACGCTATTGCTATTATAATTTTTTTTTTTGAAGACTGCATAATAACATTTCATAATTTTATAATATTTAAATCACAAAAGGATTCCTGGTTCAAAAATGAAAATATAAAAAAGGTGAGCAATGATCAGTATGCTATGGCAAGGCGAGGGAGGATTTGAAGAGTAGGCTAGCAGGGAAAAATAAATGCCTAAAATCAAATAATAAAATTATACTTATAAAAAAAAGGTTATTTGTTTTGTTGCACACATATTAAAATGGTTTTTACAAATATTGATAAGCGGCATCAGTTTAAATCAGCTTTTACGATTTAACGATGCAATTTCAGAAATTTTGCAAGGTATAAGATGCAAAAATGCGACGAAGATGTTTTCCAGAAATTTGGAATAACTTGTAGGATGAAACAATGGTGGTAGAACTATTATATATATATATATATATATATATATATATATATATATATATATATATATATATATATATATATATATATATATATATATATATATTGTTTCAAAGTGAGCGCCTCGGATTAAACTCTGAAAACTAAAAAAAAAAAAGTATTCTTCCCGAAGTACTGCTTCATTGCAGAGGAATCAATTTACATTTTTTTAATAAAACATTATTAAAATAAAATTGCGATTAACTAGGAAGCCGAATTTGAAATTAGCCGTTTTTTTTAATATTAACAAACAATATCAGCTTAATAATTTTTTTAAATTTTATTAATCACTAAACTTTATATATAAATAAATATCGATTTTAGGCTAATTATAGAATGTTAAGGTATGATTTTCATTGGCCTATCATTTCATTACATTTTTATGAAAAAAAAAGTCATTTTATTGCACACTTTTTTAGAGATTGATCGAGCAACAAATGCTTTTTCCAATGAGATAAGGCTTGTTAAAATCTGTTAATTTATTTAGGAGTTACAACTGTTTATTTGAAACAACATTGAATCACTCTCCACCGTTTGATCTAAATAGATGGATAAAAAAGTGTCAAAACAAAAACAATCGAATAAAGGTCAGCTTTAAAAAAGCTTGTAATTATTATGTAATATTATTAATTAGAAAACGCTTTTATCTAATTACATTTGTTATATCGAAAATTAATGCACACACTTAATACCGTTTGACTTTACACACTTTACACAACACACTTAACTCACTTCCACAGAACATTTAACGATATGTGGGCATATTTTAAGAAAACACTGCCTTAAAAATGCTACATCTAAATTGGTACCTGACGAATTGACGAACTGTCAATGGTCATATTGGTTGTTGAAGACCCCTAGGTCTTATTTTGCATCGTCAGTTCAAAAATTCTATAAATTCTGTAATGGTTTTTTTTCAAATTTAATGCACACCTCCCTCCAGTGCCGCCAATTTAACTTAAAACAGACGACAGCATTGTAAATTCAAATGGAACACTATGTATATGTTTACATTTTCTGGTTATAGTGCTTTATTGCTAAAAAAAAGTAAGATATTTCCGGCACAACTTGATTAGAGGGTCAATTTTCTGGTTGATGACGGGTAACGCATTTTGTTTTAGAGGGAGCATAGTTTATTAGACTATCAATAAGAATGAGTAGAAAAAAGCTGAATAATTTTTATTAAGGACTAGCAAATACAAAAATAAAAAACTTGAGAATCATTCAAAAAATTTAAAGCGAAATCGAGCAATTGCGGATTGGGATTTTAGAGACAACTTGGGTTAAAAAAAAGTAAAAATTAGCTATAACTGACAGTAGGCAGTGAATTGTAACAGTTTCTTTGCCGATTCAAGCTGGCGGTGGTTGATCGGGAGCTCTTGTTGTTGGACCAGCAATATCCACGTCAATTTCCACCTCTTTGTCCGGAAGATCGTAAAACGGTCTAACGCCACCATTGACGGGCATTGTATCTATAATTGGATTGAATAGTCCTGCGCGTTAAATCGTATTATTATGGTTAAAAATTAATCGACCGAAAATATTACCGGTTTTGTTATTAAACGCCGTCAGATTTTTAACACTGTCGAAATTCCATGGCAATGGTGGCCCAGAAGGGAATCCTGCGGAAAAAGGTCCCGCTGGCATTCTTATTTGTGGTGCATACCCATAACCCGAAGTCAAGCTGCGAATAAACACTCAATGTGCGATAAAAACTTTGACTAGAAACATTACCCCATTCCACTACCATATCCTGGCTGGAAACCAAAACCTCCGTAACTCGGAGCAGCTCCGTAATATCCTGGATAACCTCCGAACACCGGAGCACCTCCGTAGTCTCCGTAAGCTCCGCATCCACTTGGGGAATAAGAACAAGGGGGGACGTGCGAGAAAGACTGTTGATAAAATGGTCCTTGTCTGTAATATGGACCCACACCAAACCCTTCGTCGTAGCATTGCGGTGAACAGTTATGATATTCCTATTAAAAAAATATATGAAATTCAGGTCTTCACAAACTTTTTATATCGTGAAAACTAAAAACTGGCTTAAGGGAGAATTGTTAATATACAGCTACATCTTAACAATACTAATAGTTTACTTTGTATTTTCACGGGCTTGTATATTATTTACTTATTCCGGTTTAATTTAAATATTTTCTTTTGAACAAATTGTATATTAGTCAAAATTCAAAAGGAAAAAGATATCATTTTTCAATTCTAGCTTCCAGAATGAATGTGTGTTTGCAGAACCACAGGCAAGGGGTTTCCTACTGACTCCAGCTATTATGGACTACAGAAAAAACTTTGCATAAATAAACTTAAATTAACTGTTAATATAAAAAAATACAAATTTTATAAATAGATTAGAAATACTTTTGCCTTAAGAAAATGTGGCAAAGTTTGTACATAGATTTATGTTTTTAGGGTTTTCCAGGAAAACTTTTATCTACTGGTAATTTCGAAATGGTTGAGAAGGTGTGCTGAGAAGGCAAAAAAAGAAAAAATATAAAGCTGGATTTTTTTCTGACTAAAAATGGTGTTTTAATAAATGCTTATTTATATTTAATGTGTAATTATTCAAGTTCATACAGATACAGACATACATATATGTCCATCAGTGGTCCACTTATGTATGTCATCGGGACAATGAACGAACGTCCACGGAGCATCCTCAGAGAAAAAAATGGACATTCTTTGGACATGGATGTACGACCATAGGACATCCATCCACAATATTATTTTGCACTGTATGTGAGGCTTGCAGGAACGTTTTGGATAAACGCAACTTGCTGAAAACCTTTTTGTTGTTCTGTTGTTCTAGCGGTTTTTGAGATATTAATTATTTTTCATATTTTTCGACTGAAACACCCCCAATTTAAATTATTATTGCTAATTAAGTTACATATTTGGAAAGTTAAAATGTTAACTGCAATGTTTCAGTATCCTGGGTAAAGGTTGTTTACAAAATTCTGAACTTACAGTTTTACATGAAAGTAGCAAAAGGGTATTTTTTTATTATGAAATATTCTGAGAGATTGCCATGAAATATCATGGTGGATGTATTTATAAAAAATTGACAATAGCCATAGTCACTGCATTGACAAATAATACATTTTAAGTCTAATTTGCCAAATTGTCACATTTTTAAAGAACTTTGCTATTTCGGAGTCCTTGGCATTTTGATATCTCATTTGAAGAGGATTTTTAATTGTCTTTCAGAAAAATTCATAAAATATAGGATGATGTCCTATTTAGAAAAAATAAATTTTCGTTATTTTTGTTTCAACCAATTAAATTGCATATTTTGAGCGCCCCTCTACGATACAGAGTTAACTTGTCTATAAATAAACTATTGCATGAAACCTGCGTCAACTATGGTCATAAGTTCAGCTTTCTACGAATTCAAATATGGCTGTATTAAAAAACAGGTAAGTTTTGAACCAACAGTAAAGAAAATAAGTAATTTTTCGAAAACTGTTAAAGATTGGTATAGGGGAGATATTATATAAAAATAACCATCGCATTGCTGTCGATAGATCGTTCTCACTTATGTAAGCAACAAAATTTTTACCATGAACGGGTACTCTGTCATGCAGTGTTATCGGATATATTACCACACGGCTTGAATTTTACGTTTGTCAATTCTGACGGTCATGTCAGTGAATTTATTCGTGTATTTTTACAAAAATGTATCCAAAAACTAACGATCGTAGAAATAGTATGCATCACGTTTGGCAAACAAAGTAGTAACGGAATATCGAAATCACAAAGGTCACTTTATTCGCATTTATTTTGTGTCACTTTCTATTATGTTTTAATTTAAAAAAAATCAATCAAATTACCTTGGAGTCGCTATTGAAGTAGTGATTGTAGCAACCTTCACATGATGCTGGTTTCTGAATTCCACACCACACGTATGGCCACGATGACGTGTAAGTACAACGCGGTTGAGGCTGCGGAATGTAGGTCTTTTCTTGTTGGCAATTTATGGGCTGACCTAGTACGTCCCGTTGACAAATCTCTTGCTGTTCTTCATGCACTATCGAAGCTGTGCAGTACCATCCGCACTGCTTGGCTCGAGTGTGGTAGCATTTGGTAAATGGATAAGTGTTGGTCGGGAAGCACTGCCTGGGCCCTCGAATAATAAATGGTTTTTAATTTAGTTACAAGAATCAAATGAGAATCCTCAAATTGTATAATGATTAGTTTGATCCTTTTTTTATGATAAAACTATGACATAAATCCAATTGGGGTAATTAAAAACACATTGTTCAAAGTACCACCTAGAAGATCCTACACCTAGCAAGTCCAACACCCTGTAGTACACGAGTGTGGCCCCTTTAATTTTCAGAGGGTGTGGCAGCACGGTGCGACAAATGAACTAGACAGAGGCTTTATTAATAGATCGCGAACACGATGTTTTAAGCAATTTTAGGGCAAGGAGTTCATGCCTGAAATTGCCCAGAAGCACAATTACTTTATTTTATATTTTGTTGTCGAAGACCTTGGTTTTGTCGACATGTTTATAAGTCAATAACCACAATTAAAAGTAACGTTATAATTATTTGCCTTAACGACTTAATCACATCATAAGGAAAGAGATCGGCTTTGTGTTGATCGTCCGCAAATAAAATAAGAATGGTATTGATTAAGAACCTACCCGAGAATTGATACGTGATTTAGTCATACAAGTGACGAAATTGAAAGTGGAATTGAAGAAAGTAGGCAAGTATGCAACAACTCTATGCAAAATATGCCCAGGAAAATTGAACAGTGAGGGCGAATCATGCTCAAAAATAAAGATAATAAGAAAGAGAACGACTTCGTGTGAAACAAAAAAAGGTAATAGCGAAAATCACCACGAATCTAGATATATTAGATTAGAAAACACCAGTCTAACATTTGAGCCTCTGGAATAGGATGTTACAGCAATAAAACATTTTCGTATTACAGGTTGCTAGTTTCTCATGCAGTGGCGGAAGCAGTAAACGGTCTAAATAATAATTTTAATACATGGATAGGATAGTGCGGCACTAAAATTGGGTCTGTACAAGAGATCCGGCACTCGTAAACTTTTTTACTGGAAATTTTTAAAAAAGGAGTTTACAAAAATAGAAGCAATAATTTGCAAAATTAAAGTAGAAAATAAAAGCAGTGGAAAAATAGATCGACAACAAACGTAATAAATATATATATATATATATATATATATATATATATATATATATATATATATATATATATATATATATATATATATATATATATATATATATATATATATATATATATATATATATATATATATATATATATATATATATGCGACCCGTGTTCTAATTTTTACTATTAGTTACTTATATAAATCTCTGTTAGCATTTTTTTTTGTTTATACATAAAATGTTTTTATTTGTAAATTAAGTTTTATTTCTAAATGACTTTTTGCTGGCTATAACAACTATGCAAATCCTATATCGCTTTGTTTTTCTTCTAAAAAAATAGAAACAGGAAATCAAAAATAATCGGTTCCGAAATAAACACAATTATTCAATTATTATTATTGTCAAACTAACCAAAATTTATCTTAGACTTTAATCCCCTGTCGACTACTAAATGTCGTGGAAATGGTCTTTTAATTCTCAACTTAATTGTAAGGTAATATACAGGGGGTGACATTTAAAAAAATGAGTAACTTAACAAAACGCAGAACGTGTCAACATGTAGCATTATATAGAGTGATCTTTTCAAAATAAAAAAGGTTGTATCGGATCGGAAAAAAATAAAGACTGTATTCATAAATACCATTTACTTAAGAAATTTAACTCGGCACAAGAAACTTCTGATGACCGACTGAAGAATTTGGCCGATAGATTTAATTTACATTTAATTCAGTTAAATCAAGTTCATGACAATTTTGGTCTTTATTTGTAAGGATTTAAAATTTGTAGAAACTTAACAGAAAAAAGCTTTTCCTTTATACCATAGCAGGCATTTTACATCAAATTTGGTTTTTTAAAAAAATTAAAGAGCATTAGCAATATGTGTATTTTCATTATTTCTGAGTTTTTGAAAAAATACCATATGAACTTTAATATTAATTTTTCGAGGTATAATCACCCTGTTTTTTCTCATCATTTCTGAAACAATTTAGGGTTTGTTTCTTCGTGCTAATTAAGAAATTAATTAATATCTACAATTTGTTTTAATAAACAAAATATTATAAGCTCAGAGAAACTAACTGAAATATAAAAAGCATTTACCTATGACGATGCAACAGTTTTCTGAAGTTCCGTTTCCGCTCCCGTCGATGATCGAAATATTATTTTTGCTCGTGTAGCCTAAATTAATCGGCACATCGATGATATTTGATTGATTGATGACATTTTGCACATGTATTATCGTCGTGACGTTCGGTAAGTTATTGTTGATATTGCTGGCATTTACGGATACGCTTCCAGACGCGCTTCCGGCGTTGACGGAGGATCCTTGGCTAAGATTTTCATAGCAAGATTTTCTGCAAGTACTCCTACAGGAAGACGTTCGGCATTCAGCGTGACAGGTTTTGTGACAACAGTGATTGGTGCGGCAAGGGACGAAGTCGTCACAGCAGCGGCTACAACAGTTGTTGCAGGTACCTAGAAAAAGCTTACTGTAAGAGCAGGCATTTCGTCAATGATAGTAGTATATTATGCAGTAAGTGTGGTAAACAGCTCGTGTATTAAGCACACGCTCCACTGCGCTTCGTTCGTGAAAAAATAAACTCGTCACTTAGAAAGTTTGCCAAACGTGTTGTGCTAGACTTTTTTTTACGACCGTTAGTTTTTGGGCACGCGACCTTCAGACTTGAGAAACGTCAAAATTTAACCCGTGCGGTATTATTCGGAAATGTCCGAAATGGCTCGGATCCGTGGGAAACGAAACTAACCAAAACGACACTTTCCGCACCCACCATCGGTGTCAATTAGGTATTTTTTCTACTCCCGTCTGTAAAATACCTAATTACACACCGACCTAGCCTGCGGGAAGCGTCACTTTACCACGTCAGTTTCATTTTCCATGGATCCGAGCGGGATCCGGGATTTTACCGTAATTCTGATTCTCACGTTAATGTATTCGTGTTGTTTTGGGAAAATGTACCCAAAAACTAACGGTCATAGAAAAAGTATAGTATGCAACACGTTCGGTAAACTTTTTAAGTCACCCGTTTATTAAACACTGGCCCCGCTGCGCTCCGCTCGTGTCAAATAAACTTTTGAGTCCAATGCTGTTTACCGCACTTGTTACAAAATATACTATTATCGAAGGGAATACACTAAGAAAAAAAATGCGTTTTAAAATGCACAAGAATTAACCTTTTATATATCAACTCTTCTCTACAATTTAACTAATCAAAATATAACATTTTATGTTTGTTGATATTGACTTTTTTATAAATTATGAATTTAGTTACTTTGAAATATCAACGATGTTCTGTTCGGTCATATAAGTTTTACCAGCCAATACAACAAAGGGAAAAAAGCATCCATTAGCGTCTGTTTGCTTCTTTGTAGTAGCTCACTTGTGTTGTTAAGTAGTAGGCCATCGTTTGCATTTTCTGTGTGCTCAAGTTTTTGAATTGATTTTAAGAGTAGTTCGTTTTTGTAAATTGTCGGCAATAAGCAAACAAGCAGATGTGTATTTAGTCGGTAATTGAATCAGTGAGTTCGAAAACCGTACAAGTCCCAAATTGGACATTGTAAGGTAAGATAGCCATTTTGTTTAAAATTTGTCTCTTCATCAATTGAGCGTAAAAACTGTACTAGGTACATAGTCGTTAAGATAGCACAGCTGATTGCTCCCGTAGAATAAGGAGAAAAAAAAAGATTGATTGCAGCGGAACTAATGGTCCATAAAAGGCGAGCAAAGAAATTTTACAATAAAATTAAAGAAGTGCAAAACCTGTGCACTCAACGGCCAGAAGTAATGGACTAGCTTTTGATTATATGCAGAATATGCCACTACCGGATATTCCAGTCCAGGAAATATTTCGTTTTACTCAGCTCTGAGTATTTACATTTCAAATAAATAATCTTATGGAGAATATTGGTCATTTTTATGCTTACCATGAAAGTGAAGGTCAGAAGGAACCTAATGAAGTGTGTACATTTCTGTGTGTGAAATCACTGAACGAGGTTTATTTTCCGATGGATGTGCCGGGCAGAACCGAAACCGAACAATGGTTCCTTTCCTTTTAGCATTACAAACAACCAAGAAGTTCGACAAAATCTATCACTACTTTCCAGTAAGAGGACATTCGTTTCTGTCCTGCGAACGAGATTTCGGATATGCAAAACCGAATTTCAGAAAACATGACCGAATTTACACTCCAGAAGAATATGAGAATTTAATACTGAGTTCCAAAAAAAGGCAATCATTTACTGTGAAGCGAATCCGACACACTGACATTACTGATTTTAAGAACTGGTGGACTAATTACTGTAAAAAAACGTGTAGCTCTCGAGGCACCGGTTCCAATAAGGAAACGTTTGCTGTATGAAACTATTGTCAAACTATGAAAGTGCTAATCAAGGATATGTTAAAACCTGGGAGTATATAGATGGTTTACACTCCTATATTTTTAAATTACTCATAGAACATAAGACCAGCCCACCTCTGCCCAATAATAAGGCTTATCAAAGAAGGTAATGACGTATACCCACGGTGAAGCCTTGGAATTCTATTACGACATGACATTATGGAATACCACAAATGCTGAAAATGATGATTGAGATGTCTGTTTTGATAATGTATTTTTTCTTTGTCCCGAATAAACATTAAAAATATCAACAAATAGTCATTAGTTTTTCTTATATAGGGGGTTGAGTTAAAAAACCGTACAAGTCCATCCCCTCTTTTTATCTGCTATTGGTAGTGCATTTTATTTTTTAAAAAACTGCTATTAAAAATAAATTGCAAACCACGAGACCGACCTAAAACTCGAAACGCTGATTTTGGACGAACACGAACAATTTAAAATAGTCAAACAAGTATAAAAACAAAGGGACTTGTTAGAGAATGTCTTTTTGACACTGAAAATTCTCTGTAATCGGTCTGATGACATTTCTCAAAGCAACAAAATGGACGTGCCCGCTACTTCCCCAAATATAGGCAATCGGATTACCCACACGACCAAAATAGTAAATCAAAATCCTACGTCTGAACAAAATGAAAAACCGTTGAACGCCGTTCATCAACAATCAGTTATATCCGGAACAGACAGTGAAGCAGAATATGACACAGATAAAGAGTTATTGGCGGAAATTAAGGAAGTATTTTCACTATTTGATAAAGACGGTGATGGAGTGATAACCACCAAAGAACTTGGAATGGTCATGAAAACTTTGGGCCAGAGTCCGACAGAAGCCGAACTTTTGGTTAGTTATATTTAATACAACTTAGAGTGTTTTCTCGCATCCTCCACGATTTCTGTCTTTTCAGTCTTCTTCTTGTATATTGGATCATTGCGTCTCTTATACCATTCTTTATGTTTTCCAGGGCGTCCTTTTTTCCATTTTTCTGGTTGTACCCAGTTAAATACATTTTTTGTCATTTCTAGCTTCAGCAATATCAGTTCTGTCTATCTTCATAGTTACTCATTCTAGTTTGCAGTTAGTCTACGACAGCGTCTCCAGTATACCTTTTCCGTTGCCGGCAATGTCTTTAGTAAATGTTCAATCATTTCCCATACTCTCTACATTGGTCTTACACATTCTGATTTTGGTTTTTACTAACCTGGCCATCGGCAAACGCAACGTTGTTTTAGCTTATTATCATACCAGTATATAAATTTCTGACAGCTTGTACGAATGTTACTTACTTCATTTTTTCACTATGCCCGTCACAGTCTTCTGAGGAGCACACTCTCACAGGATTACACTAATATCAAGTGTATAAAGTTGATTCCATTCTTTTCTCTAGAAAGGGAAAATCAAAATTTCGAGTCTAATACATTTATTTAAAATTAAAATAAATATAAATTAAAATTGAATATGCTTATATTTGCATACACAATTACTTAGAGTCCATTCTAATTAATCTTTATGACATCTGAGAGGGCAACAAAATTAGATTTTGGACAAAAACGTACATAATATTTGTGTGCGGTCCTTCACGAAAGTATGTGTACTAGTGTTGATCCGAGTATTCATCCGTTGGTTGTTTGCGCCTAGAGTAGGATCGGTACTTAAGTTTAAAACATCCTTAAGTTCCTATCAGGTGTGTTGTCCTAAGAAAACAGTGTTTTGTTGTAGTCAGCAGGTTATTTTGAGACATACTATACTGCTTTCGTTTTAATACTATGCGAAATATGCCAAATAGAGATAAATGTTTATTGCAGGACATTGTGGCAGAAGCAGATAAAAATAAGGACGGTGTAATAAATTTCGATGAATTTGTTTGCATTATGAAGGGTGTTATGAAAGAATGTGACAATGAAGATGATATTAAAGCAGCGTTCAAGTAAGGAATAAATAAATAAAGTATATTTTTTCTACAATCGATTCTTATTATTACTTAAATAGCAAAAAATCAAAATTAAAAATTTAGTTATAACTCAAAAAATATGTTGTTTATGAGAGCACGGAAAATTATACTCTCAATACAGAACAAGCTTACAGGATGGTCACTTTATTAGGGGCCTATATGTTTTCTCAGAAACTGCGAATTTTAGAAAAAATGTTTATTCAAAAGTTTTATGATTTAAATTAAATTTAAAAATTGTGTCCGATAAGTGCCGCATCGACATTAGTTTTAAACTTTTAAACGGAACTCTCTATATATTTTGACATTTTTAGAATCCTTGCCAAAAATAAAGGTAACTTTTATAGAAATACTCATTCGAATTTTGTGCAGTTTGGACAGAAATTGAGTAATACATTTTTTAATGCAAAATTATGTTCTTGGCAAATATGGTCTTCCACGGCCGGCAGTAGATCAAATTTTAAACACATTTTTAGAAGACTTCCTTCTAACGATCTGCTATCACTATGTATTTTATAATTATACAGGGTGTCTTAAATTAAAGGACATTTTTTAATACTTTCAATGAGACGCCAATGTTTTTGATCTTATATATATATATATATATATATATATATATATATATATATATATATATATATATATATATATATATATATATATATATATATATATATATATATATATGTATATATATATATATATATATTTAAATATCGTCTAGAGTTCATTAAAGAAAATTGGGCCTATAACCTTTGATCGGTATATTCCGCACCACACTTTCACAGATCGTGTACCTTGTCGTTTTACTTTCAACACCCTTTTCTTCATTACTCCAGTAATGTGTGTTTTTCTGAATAAAAATTGGTCCATGTCCACTAAAACATTGCAGTAGTATGATCTTGCGTCATAGTCCCGTTCCTCTAGATTTTGCACTGGTAAAAACTAAAATGCTTTTCGCTTATTTCATTTTAAACAATTTCTGAGGCTAGTTCTTTTAACATCCAACCCCAACGCGGCTTGACGAGTGGAGAATTCTGGTATATTCTCAAAATGTAATACTATATCCAATAGCTTCAAATCTGTTAGAACTTGTCGTGGCCTTTTCTTTGACGTTGGCAGAATTCTACCATCTTGCCTAAACTTTGCATAAATTTTTCGAAACAGCGTCTTCTCTGGAATCCGCCGTACAGGAAACTTTCTTTGATACTCTGTAAGAGGAAAAGCTGGACTTTTCAAATTCGATAAAAAACTTTTAAGCATTTACATACATTTTTTAGTTAAGTAATAATAATAATACTAAAATCACATCTGCCTAGCTCTAACTATTATAACCTCACTTAAAAAAATTATTAACACTTATGTGGTTACCGCAGCCTACTCGCGTTAAGTTTCATAATAATATTATTATGCCTTTTAAAAAAATGGGTGTTTTTTAATATTAATGAAAATCTTATTTAAATATATTTTAAAATTTAAATCTTAATAAATTGTCCCATCCTTTCTTGAAACAATTAAAATTAAATAAGATATAAGAAAGAATTATAAAATTATTTAAAATTAGTAGGTGTCGCCAGCGAGTTTATTCCTAAAAATTTCGAAAACCATTAGATTTAAGTAATGGACATATATATACCAAAAAATTTTTTGACCCGCTTTGAGAAAAAAGATCAAAAACATTGGCGTCTCATTTAAAAAAAAAATGTCCTCCCAATCATCGCATATCGTTAGAAGGAATTCTTCCAAAAATGGGTTTAAAATTTGATCAAGCAGTCATTATTGCCAGCCGTGGAAGACCATATTTACTACGACCATAATTTTGCATAAAAAATTATATAATCTCAATTTCTATCTAAACCACACAAAATTCGAATAAGTGGTTTCTATAAAAGTTACCTCTATTTTTGGCATGGATTCTAAAAATATCCAAATATCTATGGCGTTCCCTTTAAAATTTTAAAACTTATGTCCGTCCAGCACTTTCGGCACACCCTGAAAATATTAAAAAAAACTAAATTTACTTTAAACCATAAAAGCTTTGTATAAACTTTTTTCCTAAAATCAGTAGTTCCTGAGAAAAGATACAGGTGCCTAATAAAGTGTCCGCAAAGTGTCACTTAATACGTCAGCTTGGTTTACCATGATTGCTAGCCATTTCGGACGTTTCCGGTACTTTGGCCACGGGTTTGGGGGCGATGGATATTTTCAGTAGATTTTAGTAACATTGCACTCAGAGAGAATGCTGTTCAGTTTTGGTTATTTATTTTGTATATTGACACTAAATATTAATTCATTACCTGGGTTTTCTATATATTGATTTCTTTATGATTCGGGGTTAATCGAATACATTTATCAATTTTTATTTTAATTTAATTTTTATATACATTATGGTAAAAAACGCGTGTCATTTCACCGCGATAATATGAGCCCTCGGGTTTTGTTTGGCCGAATTACCGCGCATAGTTTTCGCGTGTTTGCGATTGGTAACCCCCACCACATTGCTGCCATGGACATGGTGTGGAGAAAGAAAATCCGAGAGGCCTCGGGGGTCTTACACTAGAGTGCACATAAGGTAGGCCGTTTATTTTATAATTCGAGGGTTTATCCGTAGTTTTGTTTTGTTTGTGATCAAATTTTAAATTAAGAATTTATTTCGATGAACTTGTATACTATTATTCCACACGCGGCTTCTAAAAGGAAGTCTAGGAAACATTGAGTCTCTTACATATGGTCTTCGAGCCCGGATTTTTAAAGAATCAGTAATTCAAAAATAAAATTATTTTGTCTTTTCTAAATTCATTTTCTAATACTAAATTGGTAAAAATAATTTTGATTTCATTCACTATAAAGGCGTTTAAATAAGACGACCTTGAATAAATTTGACGAAGTATCGGAAAACAGGTAAAGAATTTAAATCGTTTAGAGTTTTTTGCGATCTTGATTTTGTGTACGATATTTTGATTGTTTTTTGTTATCAATTGTGGTTTTGGTGGATTTTACGAGGTTGTTCGCATATTTTAATATAATTGAATTTAATTTCTTCTTTCTTGCCATTTTTTTATGATATAGAAAATTTCTAAAAATATTTTTAATACCATGGCAGATTCAAAAGTAAATAGAAGAAGCGTTTTTATACAAAGATTGAAAGAAATCTACGATTTAGCTACTGCTGCTACACAGAACCCAGCTAAAATTAATGATTTTAAAATACGATATTCGGCGTTAGAATCAACATATAATGAGTTTGATAGGTTGCATTTGGACATAATTTCTGATAAAAGAGTAACGGATGTAATGCTTGAGCAGCAGGAGCTAATTCGAGCGGAAGTTGATGATCAATACTTTTCAATTAAAAGCATTTATAGTGAACTTTGTATAAAATCTGAAATATCCATGATGGTACCACCTTCGCCACCAGGCCAGAGCCATAATTTGCCGCCTTACCTAAATTTTAATCTTCCCCGTTTAGATATACCTGTTTTCTCAGGCAATTTAAAACAGTGGCCGACATTTTTTGATTTATACAGGAGTTCGGTGCATAATATGAACTTTTCCGCTTCACAAAATTTTCAATTACTGCTTACTCTCGTAACCGGAGAACCGCTCAGTTTATTGAGAAATATTCCTATAACTGATGACAATTACGCAGTAGCCTACGATACTTTAATAAAAAGATACGACAATAAACGGCTTTTATCGACTCATTACTTCAATGAAATAATGAACATTTCCAAAATTTCAAATCCATCGAATCAAGCACTGCGTAATGTTGTTGATAAGTTTTGTGAAAATGTGGAGGCATTAAAATTATTGAACTTTCCTACTGCGGAATGGGATTTTTTGCTTTTTAATTTACTCTTAATGAAAATCGATTCTGATACCTTACAGCGATTTGAAATGGAGCACGCAAAATTTGATATACCCACTTTTGCGCAGTTGAAATTATTTCTGAATAACAGGTGTAAGGTTTTAGATACGTTGACCTATACTCAGGAAGAAAATAAATCAAAAAATGCCGGAACCATTTATAATAGTAAGTCTTTTGCCAGTAACCGTCAACATAAGTCAGGTTCTAGGAATAATGGTGATCACTCCAAAGCATTTTTTACTAATACTCCTTCTAATAACGTTCCTACATTGAATTGTGGTATCTGTAGGACCCAGCATTCCATTATAAACTGCTCCGTCTTTTTAAGTAAGACTCCTCATGAGCGCTATTTACTAGTTAAACGCAACCGTTTGTGTGTGAATTGTTTGAGTTCGTTTCACAAATTTTCGAAATGCCGTTCTAATAAGACCTGTTCTTCTTGTACGAAACGCCATCATTCTTTACTACATTTCGAGTCGGCACATGGTAATGAACGTAGTCCACCTAATGACGATGTTTTGCCCAGTGCTAATGACTCTTCCGTAGATCAACCACATTGTGGCACCACTTCCATAAATTCTAATAGTGCATTTACGCTCCTTGCGACTGCAAAAGTGGATTTTCTGGACAGCCAAGGTTATTCCCACACAGTTAGAGTACTACTGGACAGTGGAAGCCAAGGCAATTTTATATCCGAAAGATGCTTTAAGAAATTAGGACTTTCCCGCTCTCGTTTGAACATTCCAATTAATGGGTTAGGTAATATGACATCTGTATCGTCGAATGGTGTTACTTGTTGTACGGTCCGCCCGGTGGGTAAGAACACACCTTCTTTTCCCATAGAATGTATCGTTTTACCGCAGATTTGCTCCTACATGCCTTCTGTATCTTTCAGTCGCGAGAACTGGTCACATTTGGAGAATTTAGTCGTTTCTGATGACACCTACAATACTCCTGGACCTATAGATGCTCTCATCGGGTGCAAGTTATTCCCTTTAATTTTGTTGCCTGAGAAGGTGTGCGGTAAAGAGTTGGAACCTGTCGCATTCAATACATTATTTGGGTGGGTAGTGATGGGTAAAATTGATCGTATAAAAAGCAAGTCCTCATATTCCTGTTGCACACTATTGGAAGAAAACCGGGATATTAATAAAACTCTTCAAATGTTTTGGGAAATGGAGGAAGTTCCAAGTAGCAAGTCTTCATTAACCCTTGACGATCCCGCTGAAATTTCTTTTAACGAGACTCATTCTCGAACTCCTGAAGGACGTTTTATCGTTACTCTACCGTTTTCCAGTGGTGAGCCATTATTTTCTGACTCACGCTCCATAGCCCTAAAAAGGTTTTATAGCTTAGAGCGCCGTCTTCTTAAGGATCCTCCATTATTTGAGATATATTCCAAATTTATGAAGGAATACTTAGAGCTGGATCATATGGAACCCGTGTCTGCTCCTGTCTCTGACGTTACCCAGCGCCACTTCTACATCCCTCACCATGGGGTTACTAATTCGAATAGTACGACTACTGCATTGCGCGTAGTCTTTGACGCATCTTGCAGTCCGCGGGATCGATCGTTGAATGACACTTTGTTGATTGGTCCCAAACTACAAAATGAAATTGTAAGTATTCTGTTAAGTTTTCGAAGGTTTCCTGTAGCATTTACTGCCGATATCAAAATGATGTATCGACAAATACTTGTTAATGACAGCCACCAAGACTACCAACGTATTTTATGGAGATTCTCCCCTCGAGAACCTGTTCAAGATTTTCGCCTAAAAACCGTAACCTACGGACTAAATTCAGCTCCTTTCCTTGCTCTGAGATGTCTTTTACAATTAGCCACCGAGGGTAGAGATAGATTTCCTAGGGCCGCAGCAATTTTAGCGTCCCAAGTGTATGTTGATGATATATGTGTATCTTGTAAATCTTTAGAGGATGCTGTGGATATCAAACAACAACTTATTGCTCTATTGGATGAGGGTTGTTTTTTCCTTAGAAAATGGTCTAGCAATTGTGTTGACTTCTTAGCTACTATACCTTCAGATATTCTACAGAAACCTCTCGCACTTGACACTAAATCCGATCCTTACTTGAAGGTTTTGGGTCTCAGATGGTCTCCAGAGAAGGATATCTTCTCATACGCCATACAATTTCTCAACTCGACATGTACTAAGAGATCTATACTTTCTGAAATCTCCAGAATTTTTGATCCAATTGGATTACTTTGTCCCATAACTCTATTAGTTAAGCAGCTAATGCAATCTTTATGGGCGAGAGGTATCGACTGGGACAGTGCCCGCAGATATTGCCCAAAGGTGGACCGACTACAAAAATGAATTGCCAAGTCTGTCAGCATTAGAAATACCCCGTTATTGTTTTATTTCAAAGTATGTTAGTTTAGAATTCCATGCTTTTGGGGATGCTTCAGAGCTAGGTTATGGAAGTTGTATCTATTCTCGCCTCGTGTCTCCAGATGGCCAAATTTCTACTTATCTCCTCTATGCTAAGAGTAAAGTATCTCCATTGAAGAGATTGAGTCTTCCTAAATTGGAATTAAGTGCTGCATTAATGGCTTCCAAATTGCTTAAATATGCCTTAAATGTCTACAACATTCCCGACGTACAAAATATTTATGCTTGGTCTGACTCGACTATAGTCCTAGGTTGGATAAGGTCACCGCCTTGTCGTTGGCGCACTTTCGTCTCAAACAGGGTGAGTCAGATTCAAGACAATGTAGCACCTGAACGTTGGTTTCACATCAAATCAGAAGACAATCCAGCTGACCTTGCGAGTCGCCCTGTCCTTCCGTCTGATTTAGTTGACTGTCCCTTATGGTGGGCGGGACCAGCTTGGTTGTCGCGTCCCTCCGAAGAGTGGCCCAAACACGAACTTGGTGAATTGGACGAACCACTACCAGAAGAAAGAGCGACCATTCTCACGGTAATAAAAGGCTATAATCCTGTTGGTGATATTTTGAATAGGTATTCATGCTTACAGAAAATACTTCGCCTTATTACTTATTGGCGTCGTTTTCTTGGCATTCGTTTTAAAGTGGTTTCAGTGGTTAAAAAGGGTCCTTTCACGGAGTACGAGTTATTTCAGAGTCTTCTCCGCATTGTGAAGCAAGTACAAGCAGAAGCCTTTTATGAAGACATTTCCAATCTTTCGAACAAGAGTGTTTGTTCCAAGCCGTTAAGAAAGCTTGCTCCTTTCATCGATGAACAAGGACTTCTCAGGGCAGGCGGACGCCTTACTCACTCTCAACTTGATTACGATCAGAAGCATCCCGTTTTGCTTCCCAACAAACATAGGTTGACTGATCTTATAATAGAGGATTTTCATAAAAGATACCTTCACTGTGGACAGCAGGCCTTGCGCTATTTTATATCTCAACGGTTTTGGATTTTGGGTGCTAAAGGAGCTATAAAACGTATTGTCCATAAGTGTTTCCGCTGCTTTCGAACACATCCTCAGGTAATAGAACCAAAAATGGGCGATTTGCCTAGTTTCCGCATTACCAAAGCCAAGCCCTTTCAATGTACTTCTTTGGATTTCGGTGGCCCTTTTCAGATACTGATGTCAAGACATAGAGGTTGCCGTACTCAAAAGGCTTATCTATCTCTCTTTGTGTGTTGTTCTACAAAGTGCCTGCATTTGGAACTGGTATCAGACCTATCCACTTCTGCCTTTCTTGCGTCATTGCGTCGCTTCATCAGTCGACGTGGTAGATGCTCCAAACTGCACAGTGATAACGGTACCAACTACGTTGGTGCAGCTCGATATTTAGCAGATTGCATGGCTAAAGCAGCCGCTGAGGAATTAATCGAGTGGCAATTTTTCCCTCCTTCAGCGCCTCACTTTGGTGGGTTACACGAAGCTGGCATTAAAAGCGTCAAAACCCACATTACTAAAATCATAGGGGAACAATTACTTACCTATGAAGAATTTTACACAGTTCTCACTCAAGTTGAGGCCGTACTCAACTCTAGACCACTTTGCGCTATGAGTAGTGATCCCAACGATCTATCCAGTTTAACACCAGGTCATTTTCTCTCCTTAGCTCCTTTATCAGCTATTCCCGATCACGACCTCACTTGTGTTCCTATGAATAGACTTGATAGGTGGCAGTTACTGACCAAAATGCATCAATCATTTTGGAAATGATGGCATATGGAATATCTTCATTCTTTACAACAGAGAGCTAAATGGGATAAAGATACCACTCTTATCACGCCGGGTACTCTAGTTGTACTGAAGGAGGATAATTTACCTCCCCTCCAGTGGAGACTGGGACGGATTGATTCCATTCACCCTGGTGCTGACGGTGTTCCACGAGTAGTCACTGTCAGAACCCAAAACGGTTTAATCAAACGACCGGTTATTAAGGTATGTCCTCTGCCGGCCAATTAATCACAATTGATAAACTTTAATATTAGCATATTTTGTTTATTTTCTTTTTTTTTTGTTGTTTTTTGAAATACCGTTGTATTTGGTGGGCGGTATGTTCAGTTTTGGTTATTTATTTTGTATATTGACACTAAATATTAATTCATTACCTGGGTTTTCTATATATTGATTTCTTTATGATTCGGGGTTAATCGAATACATTTATCAATTTTTATTTTAATTTAATTTTTATATACTTTATGGTAAAAAACGCGTGTCATTTCACCGCGATAATATGAGCCCTCGGGTTTTGTTTGGCCGAATTACCGCGCATAGTTTTCGCGTGTTTGCGATTGGTAACCCCCACTACATTGCTGCCATGGACATGGTGTGGAGAAAGAAAATCCGAGAGGCCTCGGGGGTCTTACACTAGAGTGCACATAAGGTAGGCCGTTTATTTTATAATTCGAGGGTTTATCCGTAGTTTTGTTTTGTTTGTGATCAAATTTTAAATTAAAAATTTATTTCGATGAACTTGTATACTATTATTCCACACGCGGCTTCTAAAAGGAAGTCTAGGAAACATTGAGTCTCCTACAAATGCATTCGTGATATTTTGCAAAAATGCACCCAAAACCTAATGGTCGTAAAATGGGTATAGGTATGCAAGATGTCTAATAAACACTAGGCCTCATCAGCTCTACTCCTGCCTTACCAAACTCTTGACTAAAGTGGTGTTCATCATTTATTGTTGCATAAATAGTATATTATACTTATATCGAAAGTAATTTGCCAAGAATGATTTTTAAAATAGTTCCGTTTCAGAGTATTTGACAGAAATGGAAAAGGCCATATTTCTTCCGATGATCTTCAATTCATCATGACTAGCCTTGGTGAAAAAGTGACCGATGAAGAATGCGAAGAAATGATCACGGCCGCTGACTTGGATGAAGATGGTCAAGTATCATTTGCTGACTTTCTTGAAATGATGATTTCGAAGAATAAATAAATGTATTTATCACAAAACTGGTCTTTTTTGAACTAGTGACAGTATGGTACGATTTTTGGCTTATCGCATTTTTCCTATGTCAGTTGCTTTATCGCTTCAGTGAATTCACCTGTATATGATCATTCAAATTACGTTATAAATATAGGACAATGTTTTGAATGTTCTTTTTTTAATAATATAATACACTCACCTCCACACTTACTGTACCTGCAGGAATCACAATCGCAGTCGCATCGTTCTTCAGGAACTTCGTTGTCTTCACTATCGCTGCAGCTCAGTGATCGCTTCTTTCGGTGCCGCCTGATGCATTCGATATAATTTTCGTGCCTGGTGGATTGACATTGTTTTTCTAATTCGGCTTTTAGTTCAGCACAAGGACTTGGTTTGCATTGTATCTCTACCACAGTAAATATCACAAGCACGAGCAATAGAGATTTCATCTAAAATGAATAAAATCATTTTATAGCGCAGCGGCATGTGCTAGGTTGAAAAAATACAGTAAGGTTTCATTAACAATTGGAAATATTCTAACAGTAGAATTTTGGACTGAACATATTCATATAATAAGTATAATAATGATTTTATCGTTACAATTGAAAGTGTTTGTTATTTACTCACAAAGTGTTGCTGAATCATAAAATTGTGCTAAAATGGCAATCCCGCCACTGGCGTAGAATTTGGAGAGAGTCAAACAGAAACGTTTCTCTGTGGTTCTCCTCGGATAATAGCCAGAAACGTTTATTTATTATTGTCCAGTAGGGTATACTGTATCAACAATTCGCGCTAAACATGACATGGATATGTTAAACAGTATTAAAGTTTTTGCTAAATGTATAAGTGTAAGTAAATGTATGTCGGAGATCCTAAGAAATAATTGAAAAAATATGATTAAAATAATTAAATAGAAATTGAAACCCGGGGGGGCGGGTTCTGATGGCGAGCATTTCGTGAAAATCTGAACTTTTAGTTCTTATTTAAACAAAATTTATTCCAGCTTTATCAAGGGACTTTAACACATTTAGTTATATTTCCGCTTTTTTAAGTTATTTATTTATTTTTTACAGTAGATATTTTGAAACCCGATAATTTTATATTTTCAACGACATTCTTGTATTTTGGTTTATAGTCGCCAAACAAGTTTAAACGAATTAAACGAAACGTTGGACAAAAAAAATATGTTAATAGATTTAAGGATATAACTTTAATATTTTTTGAAAAATTTATTTCAAGTATTCTTTTTATCGCTCTTTTAAAATTAGTGATTTTGTTCCTAAGTGACTTAAGAAATATACACTGGTGTAAACAGTTGATTCATTCATCGATTTAACACAGTGACATACACACATTAAAAAATATATAATAATAATAAATAATAGATTATGTCCTTTACCTATCGTCAGTGTATCTAGAAATTTCAAATGGCTTGTTTTTTTTTGGATTGTAAATTGTATTGTAGAATAAGTATGTCTGGCTTTAAGTTTTTATTTAGAGCCAATATAATTAACCAAGTTTTTAATTTACACTAGGTCTTAATAAGTATTCAAATAGGTGACTTATTGATACACATATTTATTCCGTCAGCGCACGATCAACGTCTCGAATTTTATATTTCTTTATTGTTCATTGTTACTGGTAAAATCGTTGAAAACTTATTTTACTCAGTCGTTATGACAGCCGGTACAAAATCTAAAGGAAAGTGCACTACAGTTTCCTTGGTGACGCGATTGCGTTTTGTCAATTAAATGCCAGTGTGTTGCTGTCCCTAAAGAGGTCTTTTTTTAACACAATGGTGATTATACATATAAAACACAAAGATCAGAATCAGTTTCTGTTCGAGACAACTCTGAAGATGTCCGTCGACGAGGTAGTCAAATCCATTGCTGCAATTTATAACGGCAGATTGAAGATTCAGCGCGTGTGCATGGAAATAGAAGAATTGGCTAAACACGGAACTCTTCTACCACCTGAAATTCTGGGTTTAACCGACGAACAGGTGGAGGAGATGAATTTGAAGGACGAGTGGGGCGAGAAGTGCATACCTAGTGGAGGATTTGATTTTAGCAAGGATCCTATTGGAAGAAGAAACGGAAAAGCACCTAAAAAAGAAATGGGGGATATTTTGCATAAGGCTATAAACGAAGCGAAGGAGATGATTAGTAAAAATTTGATAGTGATGGGTGAGTTCTACTGCTACTGACGAATAAATTATAGTTTGATGAAAAATACACATTTTTTTGTATCTGTCTTACCTAAATATTTATTAATGCAATAGTTGTCACAGGGTTGGTCAAAGAAGGGAATGAATGATGTTCGGCTCACTCAATCGCGCTTTGCGCCATTTTCGTTCTAAACCGTGATCTAGATCTACACCCTTAACTCGTTTTTCAAAGAACATTTAATGGGATCTGGTAAAAATGACTGAACTGAAAACTGTCGAACTATTAGCCAACATGTTGGTTGTTCTACGCCGCTGCTCTTATTGGTTAAAGATAGGTTTTTAGATGACAGGTTTTATTGGTTGAAGCTGGGATTTGAAATGGCAGATCTTATTGGTTAAAAACAATCGCCTAAAAGAATTTTATTGACCCTTCTTAAAAAAAATTGCATATGATGATAATACAGAATCTTGAAGCTACCAAAGGGCAATGAGCAGAGGTAGACTAACAAATATTTTACAAAAATCAAATCGATTCATTATAGGATTTCCTTCCTAGTACATATATTTTTAATTTTCCAATAAAAAGTTATAGAAATTATTTTGGGTTCAAAATGAGATTCTTCATTCATTTGTTTTGTCCTTCATCCTTAAATTCAGTGCAACTTTAAATTTTGTGTCTTTCATTATTACGATTAGAATTTGAGTAAATTATTTATATTTGGTGGTGAGGATACACTCGCCGGGCAGGTGATGTCTCTTAGTAAAAATGGAAATCGTCTGATTTTTATCTATTTTTTGATAAATTTGGTCGAGTTTATTTTGCAATATTTAATCGGTACCAGACAGAGTCAATTCTACTGATAAGTATTAATAAAGAAAATGTTTGTATGTCGAAACGGGAAATCCGAAATTTCCACATTTACTTGAACAGTTTGGTCCGCCAATCAACGTCATCGGTAGATTTGATAAACTTCAACAAAAAACATTTGAATAAAAAACAAAAGACTATCGTTTTATAAATGGACTGACTATACGGGAGTTTCAAAACAAATGCGAACTTACGAAGGCGAATGATTGTTTAAATAAAGGGTAATTTGATATATAAACAACTATTAGGGAGATATCGCGCTACAAATATGGCCAAAAGATAATGTTTTTAAAAACGAAAATAGATAGAACAATTAAATAATCTCGAAGTATTATTGTAATAGAAACACACTTCTTGCAATTTTTTTATATTGTTTAAATGAATGGAGGGTATTGAATTAGACTACCCCGACATTGTTTCCATAGGCTACCAGCCATTAAAAATTATTTAGTAGTAATCAATCAAACAAAAAAATTTGGTTTGTTGGATATACAGGGCACATCATAATAAGATGCTAATTCTTATATACTTAAGAAAAAAAGTTTATATCGATGTTGGTTCCCAATTGCTTTCTATTTGATGTTGAAAAACACCCCGTATACATTACTGCAAGCACATGCAACACAAAAAATTTACCAATAAAAAGATGTTTGTTACTGATATGGAGGCGGACAAGGCTGTTTATTTTCTCTTTCAAATGAGTAGTAGGGTTCCTTCATTCCCAAAAATAGTCAAAATATACTTAAATATATACATAAATATATAACTTATAACTTTAACTTAAATTAATATACAACTAACCAACCTCATAGTTTTAAGAACGATTAAAATTATTTCACAAAGTATCCTCTAGCAAAAAATCTGTTGTCAGTATTATGACAAAGAATAGAACACCCGGCCTCTAAATAAAATTTTCCTTATAAAATTAATATTCGCTGCATGACCGGAATCATTCCAGTTTGAATTCATTGGTTCAAAATTTTCCTTTTGCTTTTATCATTGGAATGTATCTCGCTTAAATTTTAGTAGCGTTGTTTCGAATTACACCTGCAGTAAAATATTAAATAGTACCATATCTATGGATAGGGAAGTGCTTAACAATGAAAATCGTCCAAGAAGCCCTCAATATCTTGAAAGGAGCAGTTCTCATCGTCTACCCGATGAAATTGCCTCCACACGACGTGATCCGTATGGAATTTGAGAACGTTGAAGACTTGACCGGTACTCAGGCCTCTTTGGATGTTATCGACCCAAGTACGGCACAGCTATGGTTCAGTGGAAAGGAAATGTATCGCGACGGGAAAACTGTCGGTGATTACGTGGGGAAAATAGAATGCTGCAAAGTAAGTAAACATCTAAAATAAGTTTTTCTATTCCCTACTCTAAAATTCGCAATTAAGCACTTATCGGGCGTGCGGAAAGTGATAGTTTAAGACAATGATGGTGGACCTGTCACCTGATGATCAGATTTTAACGTGCCACACACGAACCGTTTTATCAGAGACTACACTAACTTAAAAGAGATGTCCGCGTACTTAATTTGTCGCAAAAAAATCTGTCTGCTACTAGCTAAAATCTTTCAATGGAATTCAATTTTGACAAAAGTTTTAGTGAGATCTTTATCCTTTCTGTCCAGGAGAAATATAAATTATAAAAAGTGTTTGAGTATTATTGAAATATATCTTATGACAAAGACTTTGTGTACTATAACTATAGAATATCGAAGGAAATTGGTGGAAAATTGGTAAGTTTTGGTTGATGGATGGATGGATGGTATTTACCTGAAATTTGATTGCACTTCCAATATATTAGGTCAGAACTTCATAACCTTCATTCTTGAAATTTTTGTGAACGGAACCAATTGATTTTATTTTCCACAGAGCACTTTTATAAATTTCTATAAATTCTGTTGAAAACTCTTTTCTTATGAAACGGGTATTCCCGCTGTTAGTCATTTTATGTCATTTTTAACCTTCACACAAAACTATATATTCATGGTAACAAGAAAATTAGCGTTCGTATTGTAATTCTCAGATAAATCGCAGCATGATTAAAAAAGATGTTTGTGACTGCTATTCACTTACGCTTTTAAATTAATTTAGTTCAGACAGCAACTCACTCATTCACACACCCATTGTCATTTCCACCAAACAATTATGAATTTTTAACCTCAAAAAAAAAATTTTAGATCGTCATACCGAGCCTATTGTTATCAAATAATCTAATAAAATTTTATACATGTTTAGTTTTAAAACTACTCAAATAGCTAAGCTTAGCTCTGGTGCAAATGAGTATTAGTGGCCCGCGAGCTGGTACTAAAAAAAATATGAAAATAATTTGAGTCACGTCTCAAACGTAATATTTGCTACGGTACACTCCAAATCGCTAACAAATGTGGCATATCGTGCCGCTGAAGAGGTTCTTGATACCTAAAATAGTTATATTTTCCTTAGGAATTCAATGATAATCGTTTTTCAAAACAGATTTTTGTAGAATAGGAATCATTTTCGAGTAATTTCTGGTCGCTGAAGCAACTAGAATTGCTTTTCAGTGAAATGTGTGAAATGTGGTGATTTGTGATCCCGACTAGGTAAAAAGAATTAGCGGGTCATGGTCCGACAAAATCGGATAGGGGCGAAATAATAAAATTGTACGCGAAGTTAGGCCCTTAATAATAGGCGAATAGACTCTCTGTTGCTCCCCAGTTGATCCAGCCAAGCCCGATTTCCTTACGGTGCCCTTGGAAGCAACCCCAGCCCCGCTTGGTTAGAAGGGGTGATTTAACCCAAATCCCTGGCGATGTACAGAATAAGGATACTCTACACGATTAAAACGGGTATGCAGTATACTGAAAAGAAAAATTCGCCCTTTCGCAGTATCCGGATTTCAAAATTGTGTTTAGACTCATCTCGCTATATTTAACGATGGTAACCGAATCATTACGCAACTCATAAAAACTAAAGCTTCAGTGTGATGAGATCCAAGTGATACGGTAATTTTCGATAGAGCGGCTTTTCTGTAGAACGTAAAATCAGAGTAAAGGTAAAGAAAGAATTGTTATGGGATTTCTACAGTTACCCAAATATCAAAGATGGAAAAGAAAGCACTCTATATGCCATGCAAATATGTCACTGTGATGTGTGACTGTGATTGACTCTGTAAGAAACACTTTTGTGTTTGTACATTTCGACAGTTCTAGAGAAAGATTAGGTTATCTTCCTCAGAAGTGCATTCAACAACATGGAGAAGCCTGACGGATTCATGTTGCTGTAAGTAAATGTCATATACAGTGCTAAAAAGATTGTGACAGAGCACTGACGGTGATGAACTGTAAAAGCTTGGGCTTGCAGTGCTCTGCAAATTCAAGTAAACAAAATTGCAATTCATGCACTGGATGAAAAAATATCAAATGCGCTGCCTAGATTACATGCATTTTTGAAATGCCTATTCGTGAACCACACCTGCTCGCTACAGAGAACAAGCAACGAAAGGAGATGCACTTGCCAGCTCAATTTCAATGCGCGCCTACACTACTTCTTTACCTATTTAGTTAAACATCATATTTGAACATAGCTTTCCGAAGAGACAGGAAAATGACTAAACTTGCGCAACTTTTTGGTTTTTATGAGTTGCGAAGCAGTTCGGCCAGTAAATATAGTGCCCACCAAACCTCTGAGTCGAATTGACTTAAAATCAATTCTAATCGCTTCAGGTTCCAAAAATTACTCACTAAGGAATCCTGTTTTACAAAAATCTTCCATAAACTAACTCGAACTTACTTCGAAAGAAAACATTATTTGATATCTAGGGAATAGTTGGAATAGAAACCAATAGATTTTAGGTACTGCTCCAACTATAATGATTGTAGGAAAAGTACAGTATGCGAAAGTTCTTCAGTCAGACGGTTATTTAACACTCGCTCCGCTCATGCCAAACTAAACTCGTGCCTTTTATCAAACTTGTTGCATAATACTACTATTTTAGGTTATTATAAAGTTGACTAAACGGGGAGAGGGACCACCAGGCAGGGAGCCAATCATGACCGAGGAAGAAAGGAAACAACTGATGTTGCACTCTTATAGACGTCAAGAGGAACTAAAGAGATTGACGGAAGATGACGACGATGAGTATTTAAACTCCGAATGGGCGGACGGCGCCAATTTGAAGAAATCCTTCCACGGCTTGCAAAATATATCCTGGCGAGTGGGGAGAAAGTGTTGAACTTTTTTTTTGTCAATTAGCATGATCGATCAGCGCCTTATCAGTGTACATACAGCATCGAATTTGTTAATGTTTTTCTCATTGTCCTAGGCCTAATCTTATCGATTCGTGATGCGTTACCTTGTTTACCGAAATTCCTGAATTACTCGCGACCCAAATTGCTGCAATTGCGTAGTTTTGTGAAAGTGTAAAAAAAAACTGTATTTGTTTAAGATTTTGGAGGCCATTAATTTTTTTAACTAAATCGAAAATTGACGGAAATAGATAATATTTAATGCTTAGCCTGGCGACGCCAATCCTTGGCACGATTTTGTTAGAACTGGAGCAGAGACACCATACAGCGTGTTTCATTATGGCTGGCACCGTTTAAGCTAGATATAGTAGATTCCTTAAAAAGGTGATGTAGTAAAATAGCTTAGTGAACATAAATAGAAATGTTAATTACTATTTTGTAAAACAAAATTGTCCCAACAACAGGATATTTTGCTTCAATATACAATGTAAATATGCAAAATTAACATTTTGTTTAATTAAATGCCTTTCATAATAAAAAATATTGTAGAACAGATCTTTATAAGTGTGCCGACGTGAACTCTTTAATGGCTTTTTTTATAAGCTACAGTCATATACAAGGTAAGAGTAGACCGAATTTGCCAATAAGATGCTATTTTTAACAAGATTTAATATTTGTTTTATCACATTGAAAAACCAAAATTTTGCATTTTTTGGTAAGAAAATACAATTGTTATCTAAAATTAACAAGACAGGAACAATTATTCAAAATTCATCGAAAATATGAGTTTCAATAATTTTACACAAAGATTTACAGCATTAACGGGTTGAACCATCTTTTCGACCGATTCTGTATATGGAAAAATGTATCCCAGTTGAACTGCCCATGAGGGGAAGTGCTGAATGCACAAACCCCAATTTTAAGTCGTGGTGATGATCTTTTCCGGATATGACGAACCGGTTGATGAACAAAAATTTTAATTTTCCGGAAGTCATTCCTGATGATTTTCATCGAAAAAACAGATTTATATGCAGAGTCACACAAAAAAATTCACTTTCACTTTACTTTCGTTCTTTTGACTTTACTTTATTTTTGTATTATTGATCCGTATATGACCGAGACGTTACTCAGTTTGTATTTGCACAACACATTTTCCTCACCTTTTATTTGAAATTATTTTGCCAGCAAAGTATATTGATTTTTATAAAATTTAAAAAATAGTGAAACTTATTATTCAGTTATTTCATTTTGATTACCTTAGTTATGGTTATATTAAGAAAATAGTTCATAAATGAATGTGGCGAAGTCAATAAAAATCCTTTTACGAAACGAAATTGAACTTTAAAAAAATGCATAAACAGAAACCTGACAGGTAAGGCATAAATGGACTATATAAAACCCATTTGTTAGTAATCGACCTCAGTGTGAAGAACTATCCAAACTACCAATGAACTTCCTCCTTTAGGGGAGGAAGAGCAAAGATGACGTTTATACTGGTCATCAAAGAAAATGACGCCCCGCATATAAAATAGACACATTAATATTATTAACAAAAAATTTATTTCCTTCATTTTAGATATTCGCCAGAGCAAAAAACAAAGAATGCATTCGTCTGCCAGTTCAAGACTGGGGGTTTTTGGAAAATAACGTGATATTTTCGATACATATATTCAAGGTTAAAGAAGATAAGCAAAAAATTTACGATACATCTGTTTAACCTTATTTTTTATTGAATGATAAACCGGCTATCGGAATCACATCAGTTGCCAATTGCATATCAACGGAAATCACCATTCGTTTTATCCTACTTCAATATTGCGTTTTGCAACAAATTTGTTAATGTAATAGGGAAATAGAAACGAAAACTCTTCTATATTCAACAATATTGTATTTTTCAGTAAATAAATTACCTATCGCGGGGATAAAGATACAGGACCAAAGATAAAAAATGACATAGTCTATAGGCTTCGCATGATATGAATGATCTAGCAAAAACAGGTTTGGTTAGTTTTGGTTAGATACCTACATAAAAACGAAGAAAATATTTTTATGACAATTTTTGCTTGCACATTTAAAAGTACTGGCATTTTTTGAATAACATATAACAAGAGGGGTTATTATTAATAAGAATTATTGATTTGTTGCACATTTTAACTGCATCTATTTTAATAATCGACGTCACCGGCCACTAAAAACTGCAAACAACTTCGAGTTAGCTTCCTCGTAAACCGTTACTTTGATTTTAATGATTTTTTTTTAATTTTATATCCTTTGTAATGATGCTATGTTAGATTTTTTTTTGTCCCATCAGTTTCTCTGTGCTAAACCTTTTTTTTAATTTGAGTTATGGGAAATGAAATACAACTTTATGCAAATTTTCGCCACCAATTTAAATCAATTTTTGAATATGCATTTGTTATAAATTAATTAAATCTTATCAAGTTTTGAATTTTGCGTTCTATTAATTAATTAATTATGAGTCAGTTAGTAGTTAACTGCAGCTTATGTATTAACAATGAATTTTAGGTTTATTTACGGCTGCCACGGTTATACTATTGTATTGTTTGTTTTTTATGCTACAATAGTATTTTATTGATTTATAAATTAATATATTAAAATACAATTGCCACACTCGGAATAGAAGAATAGAAGTTTGAGGCAGAAATATGAGTTCAAACATAAGTGATTTTTTTACACCTCTTGCCGCAATAAAATTACTGATCAAAAATTTTGTGGTGTGGTAAAATTATAGAAAGATTTTGTCTTTCAGTTGAATTGTGTTACAATTTCTTAACGGATCTGTGGAATTAACTCTAAAAGTGGAAAAAATATGGCCCAACAAATACAAAGTTTAATTCCATTTACCTCCACTTTAGGCAGTCAACATATTAGCATAACTTGCAATACATAGAAATAAATATTTCTAAAAAAAAAGTATTACGTTCTAGAATTGGACTTGTGGGGAAATCAAAGCACATTCTCGGTAGTTCTGATGATGTATCTGAAATTGCGAAAATCGATTTGAATTTAATCACAAGATTTCATATTATACTCCAAGAATTATCATCGGAGAAAGTTACATTATGCCCCTTACCGCTCATAATTCATCAGTCTTAAATTATAGACTCTTTTATTTTAACAATGGAGCAATTGTGTGAATAGGCATTCAATAAATACAGAAAGAAGATTTAATTTACCAGTCTTAAATTATAAACTCTTTTCTTTTACCAATCGGACAACTGTGTGAACAGGCAAAAAAATAAAGCCATTAAAAGGTACAGATTATATTTTTCAAGAAATGATTATACCCAAGATTATTTAAATCGCTTTCTAGTTAGTCTACACAGACCCGCTTATTTCCAACCTTAAGAAATTGTCACCAAAAAAATTATAAACAATTTTTCCTGAAGCGCTTAATTTATTGAAATTTTGTGCAAGTAATTTAAACTAATGAAAGAATGAAATATCTATTTCTATCTTGGGACAACAACGAACAACTTCCCTCTTTAAAATAAATTTTAATTTTATACAGTATTTATTTTTGTTCATGTCACTATTTAAAAAAATAGCTATCTAAAGCAATTTAAAACATATCCGGAACTAGTTTGACGTGAACAAGAGAACACATTCGGGAGTCGTTCTGCGGAAATTGCATTATACCAGTAGTACCATTCACAGGATGTCTTAATGTGCCCCAGGAAACATTATATGCTAATGCTGCCTACGACCCAAGTGTTTTTTAAGTCGGAGTACCCAGATTGGTTTCAACTGTGCCGAATATGTTTAGTCTGGCAGAAGTGAGCTTATCTACACAAGAAATATGAGCCCATCAGAAATGTACGTAAAAGTTGTTAAGTAGCGAATCGACCGAAAATTTCTTTGGATATCGTAATTACAATCACATTGAATATCATGAAGTTAGTTTGTATTATATGGGGTGTCTCATGTCTCACAGCCCTAACTTGATATTATAAACAGAAGGGCGAAAAAATTAACAAAACTTTATATAATCAAGGTATACTAGACAGTTTTTCTATTATCCCATTATAATTATACTTAACTTACATTACAATGTTTCAAAAGTCAGGTTTTTTAAAAGGTATCCGCATGTATGTTATTAAAAATTAAAAATGCATGTTTATCAAATTTTAAAGAGAGGATTTTTCGGTTTTAATAAGTATTTTTCATTTACTAATAATAATACTCTAAACCTAATAAGAAGACGGTTATTTTGTATCGAATTAGGTACGGATCACTTTGTACAGGGTGACCAAAAAACCTGACAAAGTACGGTCTCTCAAAAGGTATCCACCATCGAGACGTAAGAGACCGCAAAAAGTTTTTCAAAAATTTTAAATATACCAAAAAAATATATGCTAGCGAAAGTTTGGCAAAATTCAGCTGCTCAAAAATTTATTCAGTACTATGTACTTTTCGCCTAAATGATTTTTCTTTCACAAATTTTACCTATTGGCTACATTTGCATTTGCGTTACATTTACCTATATGACCGATTATTACAGCGCTGTTTATTTTTATTAATTAGTGTTTATTTAAGGTACAATGATTACAGTTCATATATTCATCTCATCAAAAGTATTATTAGTTGAAATTAAAAAAAAAAACGTGTAGTAGCATAATAATCAATATGCGTGGGAAGGGCATAAAGTATTTGACGAGTAGTCCCATGGAGGATAGAACAAATGTCTAAACTTTTCAACAATACTGAAAATTTTATCAGCTAACTTGTATTTGTTGCACATACAAGTAATGCTTTAGTAGTATATTATCGAATAAGTCTAATAAACGCCACTTTAGTCAAGACTTTAATTTGGCGCGAGCCGAGCGACTGCTTAATGAACCGGTGACGTTTTCATACCCTACTTTTCATCCGACTATTAATTTTTGCATTGATTTTTGCAAAAAAAGCACGAATACATTTACTGACTGACTTATGACATGACAAATAAAAACCCTCAAATTTATTATCAAAAGTAAAATCTATTGAAAACTTTAGTTAACGTTAACGTTAAGTTAACGTCTTGAAGTGACAAATACATACGTCGTACGTCTGACCAATGCATAATTTGGTATTTTAAAACAGAAAAAAAGAATCTCTTCAAAATACGATATTCCATCCAATCCAATCCATTGGCCCTCGCAAAGTAAAAAGTAAAGTTTGGAACATTTTTTAAAGGACGCGTAATTTAAAAGCCACCTTAAATCGCTTTTCAAAATAGTTTTCGCTTTTCTTTTATATCGACGAAATACCAATACATACACTAACCATTTTTGAGGTGGTAGAAACATCAAATGTTCAGTCAAAAGTGTTTAGTCAAAATTTCCCAGTGAGTGTTTTGAAAATTCTGAATTACCTTTGCTAATCAAGAATAAAATAACATTTTCCCTCTTTTAAGCAGGGATATCAAACAAAAAGCAGTTTGCTATTCTATTTTTATCTACTTTTTGTAAGTTCGGCACTTTTCAGCACCCAACTTGAAATATTAAAGAAACAAAGTTTGATAAAAAGGCTACCGAAAAGTGTTTGATCTGAACCCGCACGTGACGTAAATCAGGCTAAAGAAAATGCTGTCAATTATTTTACTTTACATTATTTAAATTTTTCAATTAATCAATTTTTTAAACCGGGTTTATGCAAAATTTTCTTATATAAACCATAGTTTTAAACCAACGACAACCTAAAATGGTTTTTGTTTAATGCTCTTGACTCCAAATAAATTTCAATAACTCAATGCCAATGCTAAATGATATTTAAAATCTACATTGTTCGTTTGTCATTTTTAATTCATTAATTATTGTTATTATTTTTTCATTAAAAAATGGGTTTATCCAACCAACCAAAACTAAACAATTTTGAATTGTTTAAAAAGTAAAATGTATAAAATTTGCGTTTTATTTAGTAAATGCCGGATAATTTCACATTAACAACCAGTAAAGGGAGAATGTTTTTTTGAGTTTTAAATACCTAAATTACTTATTTGACTATCGAATTATACAAAAATCAAGATAGCAATAACGCCATTTCAGAAAGTCGAAAATAATTTTCAACATTTTCGCTTGGCGGATTTTCTTAATATATTACGCTAATACTGTACCGTCCCTCGTTGCCCTTACTAGGACAACGCATGCGAAAAACACATTGCCCAATAATTTATTTCGTAAAATTAAATAAATTTGAACGTCATTTTTCAAACGCAACCAAATAATTGCAAATAAGATATGAAGAATATCTGGGTCAACTTTTAGTTTTGTCCTGTATAAGGTGATCCAAGCGATAACATCTTACGGTCAAATTTGACAATTTTTTAAGACAAATACCGTGACTTCCGATGAATTCCGTTTTACCAGGAATAATTTTTAACACGGTAAACAGATTATTACATTTTTCAATTTTTTGGAAAATTCCACGTCCAATCGTGCCCCAGATATAAAATTTGGACAGTTTTAAATTTTTTTCTAATGATGCTGCTTCCAAAAATAAAAAGGCGACTTATTAAGATTAAGTTAACTGAAATAGAAATATTAATTTTTGAATCTGAAAAAAATGTATTATCTCTGTCTATTTTGAAAATTGATGAGGCTCTTTTCCTTGCAGAAAAACCTCAAAAATTGACGTCACATGATATCCTCAAGTTAATTTTCCCCATCTTGAAAAATGTTGAAAAGGAAAAGGCTTGGTCATTTTCTTGTATCACCTGGTATATAGTAGAGCCGAATTTAAATAAATTATATTAAACTTAAAATTTATTCCACAAAATATTTACAGCAAATTATATTACTCATTAATAGTTTAACTAAATCCAAAATTTCAGTATTTGCATTACTTTTCGTAAATAGACGAAACAGGACAAAAGCGACGTACCTTAAACAAAAGATAGTGTACAAATCGATTCGATCGGCTGATAACGAAAAATGCACGCACACACTCACAACCGGTACCGATTTTGTAGGTTCTGGTCTGGCAATGAACAATTTGGCTGATACCGGTGGTCTATATATGTATATAATATCTTAGATAACGCTTACTGAAATTGCTGTTCAGCAATTTTATATCGCACTCATTGTGCCATTTTGGTCAACTTGCGTTTTGCTGCACAAAGAAGAATGGTCTTAGATACTAGCTTATAATTACATATTCATGGCTAAATGGGCTCACAAGGAATATACTATACTTAAAAAGTGTTTTTATTTTTTTGACATTCATGAATAAACACCTATTCTACAAAATATTCATCTACAAAATATTATTCATTTAATTTAAACGCGTTTCTGTGACAGCAACGTGACTGCCAGAATTGACAAGCGTCAAAATACATCCGCTCGCTCCTAAATCCATGACTAAAGTATCGGAAACACCCGAAATGGCTCGCAACAGTGAGTAACGAAGCTGACATCTTTAACCGAAACTTTCCACATACGAAGAAAAAAAAGTTTTCAGATTTCCTTGCGAACCCAAACACTAAATTTTAATTTGATTTAATTAATATTTTTAATTTAGCTATTAAAATATATTTTTGATAAAGGTGTTTATAAAATGTCAAAAGTCAAATCCGAACGAGCTATTATTCGGTTGGCGAAATAAGTGAAAAGAAGATCGTGAAAGGTATTTTCGGATTTTTAAGAAGATCCCCAAAGTTACTTTTTATAAAACTTCTGGATTCCTCCTGCGTCGGTTTTTGCTGAGTTGAACTTGCTGACGTTTCGCCAATCATCCTGTTGGCTTCTTCAAAGTTTGACTGAAACTGAAACCAACAGGATGATTGGCAAAACGTCAGTCAGTTCGACTCAGCAAAAACCGATGCAGGAGGAATCCAGAAGTTTTGTAAGAAGTACTAGAGTAGCCTGTGGAAGTTTCTTTGAAAATCCTCAAAGTTGTAACCGGCATTTTACATTTTTAAAGTGGTTTTTCGCTGATAGCCACCAAGTAAATATACTAAAAAATATCTACTTTTTCTTCTACGGTTTAAGGTAAAGTGGTAGGGTAATTAATTAATAGCTGTAACACTTGGCCTCGTTGGAAAGTGTATTTATCTTTTCATCGAACCCATCTGATCTGTCTTTGAATTCTTAGTGATGCCACTAGAGCACGTCTTTTGACAAAATATCAAAGAATTGCAATATTCTTTAAAAAATAAATTCAATAATATAAATAAAAATGTATTGAGATGATACTTAAATAGGCTAGTGGCAACTAGCCTATCATATCGAAGAAAGAATATTGAGTGTTCTTAAAAATTTTAAAATACTATTTTTTTTTAATATTTAATAACAACATTGCTTCAAAAAAGGAGCAATGCTCAATATGCAACTTCAAGGCGAAACAGAATACGAAGAGTAGGTCAGAAACGAAACATAAATGCCTAAAATTAAATATAAAAGTAAACTTCTACAGAAAATGTAATTTTTATTTGTTGCACACATAAGTGAGCCCTATTAGCTTTTTACAAATGTCGAGATGGTTGCGGTCTATTTGTCTGGGGCGTTAGTTTAAATCTGCTTTTATGGTGTAACGATGCTGTCAGAAACGTTTATTCTGATTTCAGTTGGAGCATATAGGAGACGAATGAGAAGAAGTTATTTTTTCAGAAATTTGGAATGACTTGTAAAATTAATAGTAGAATAGATTAATTAAAAACTTAAAAGACATAAAGATAAAAAAACATTTAAAGTCTAAGGCTAATATATAGTGTGGCCTACTCGTGCTAAACTGAATTCATCATATTTATAACAAATTCTTGTGAAATGTAATTCCCAAGTACAATTCGCAGATAATGCGCTTTGTTACAGAGTAGCCAATCTACAATTTTTTTTATAAAAAATTAAACTGCGATGCACTAGGAAGCCGATATTGAAATTGTCCGTTTTTTTAGGTGAGTGTATAATTTGATTATGTATTTGTTTTCCCTTCCAGACGTATTCTTAATATTTCGCTATTCCTTACACTAGCATATTATGCCATACATGTTTTTTTTTTAAATTTTGAACAATAAATACTTTTATGATTTGAAAATTATAAAATTAAAGGAAAGACAAATAACAATAACATCTTAATAGCTTTTTAAAATTTGATGAACACTAAATTTTGTTGCTTCGATATTTTATTCTAATTATAGGATATCGAGATACGATTTTCTCTTTATATATCATATCACTTAATTTTAATGAAAAAAAAAAGTCGTTTCATGGCATTTAATTTTTTTAGATATTGATGGAGAAATAAATGATTTTTAAAATCTGTTGATTTGTTTTTCAGTTACAACTGTTTATTTAGAACAACATTGAATCACCCTCCACCATTTAATCTAAATAGATGGATAAAAAGATGTCAAACTAAAAACAATCGAATAAAGGCCAGCTTTAAAAAGCGTGTAATTCTTTAACCTAACTATGAAATAGTGACTACACGCATTAAACGACAGATGTATGTATTCAAGATTATAGCATATTATGTTCGATCTGTACCTGTACTTTATATATAATTTAACTATTGGCTTAAATGATGGCTTAAAAGATTCGAGACAACTATTATAAGTTGTATTCCTCTTTTGTTCCTTTTTTTATTGCTGTTTTAACTGAACCAAGTAAGACTATTTTGGCAAATTTTTTACTAGATTTTTTGAAGATAGTAAGGGTAATTTATTTTTACATTAGTGTTTTTTTTCCCTATAATTGCTCTGGTCCTGTCTGTAATGGAAATTAGATATTTTTTAATTCAATCCAGTGAAATATCTATTCCCACAATTCTCTATTTAGTTATTTACACAAACTAAAAACCAGAAAAGTGAACGTAATTTTTATTTCCCTTTCCGGACATTCTCAAGACATTGACGTTTATATTTTAAAATGTACCGTCTATAACATATTTCGCCTTGAATCGGAAATCGCCACGAATGCAAAGTATTGTGAAATGTAATCTGGCTTATAAATGCGTATCACCGTGTTAGTTTGAACGAGATTTATTACTTACCAATCTTCTGGATTCCCCCTGCATCGGTTGTTTATATATCAAACAAGTTTGAGGAGAAGGAATCCAGAAGATTTGTAAATAGTATTAGAGCAGCCTGTGGAAGTTCCTTTGACATATTGAACCAGACTTTTTCTTATCTAATGTTAAATGGAATATAAGATAGTTGTCCGAATGGAAGTCAATGATAAGCTTTGCAAAGTAACAAGCGCAAAATAATTTAGCGCTTGTACAAAAGAAAAAAATGCAAAAGTTAACATAATTCTTGTTTTATCATGTGAAATCGATTTTGCCAGAGAGATTTTACCGAAGAGATGGTCTTAGACTCCAATCAATACAATACATACAATCAGTTCAAAAAAATCAATGCTTCCGAGGTACTCCATATGAAACTTTGGAGACTTTTTACCACACAAATTATAATTTTTTATTACTTAATGGTTGTTCATAATTTAACGAAGAATTTTTTAAATGTGCTCAGGTGCTAATCGCGAGCTCGTAAGCGCCAAGCAATATATTTATAAAGTTCTTATTGTACAATTTGTCCTGTCTGTAATAATGCTAAGGCTCTACTAAAGTCGAAACATGACTATTTTAATTATTATAAAGGGATTAAGAAAGTCGCAGGAACATACAAAAAGTAAAAAGCTAATTTACTAAAAAATGAAAGTGAAAAAATATTCATTGGAATAAAGGAAAAGCTCAAGACTTGAAAAAAATACATGGAGGAGCCTTTTGGAGACCATAATCTAAAACGTCGAATTGATCAGCGAATAAGAGAAAAACGGATCCAAGTCCCAATCTCTAAACAGTGTGCGGATTATCGTACAATAAGTGTCTCAGGCATACTTTCAAAGCGTTCTTCAAAATGATCCATAACAGAATATATAAAAAATTGGAACAGGATATCAGCGAGACGCAGTATGGTTTTCGAGAAGTTTTTTTTTGGGGAAACAATATACCTTAAATATACTGGCATCGACAGACATCAGGATCTATACATATGCTTTTTAGACTATAAAAAAGCTTTTAATAAAGTTTTGAAATCGAAAATCTTACAGTACTTAACTTACAATAACAGTAAAGACCTTAGAATTATTACTGATTTATCAGGGCAGTGTTAAAAATATTATATATATATATATATATATATATATATATATATATATATATATATATATATATATATATATATATATATATATATATATATATATATATATATATATTTTCACGTATTGATTCACGGATGGAAAAATGTGATGACACTATATTCCGGGATATCATCCGTTCGCTCGTTGAACTCCGACTGGAATCCTGCATCCGACTGGAATCCTGCAAATCCTGCATCCGACTGAAATCCTGCAGACGTTTCGCCAAAATCTCACTTGGCATCTTCAATGCTCGCGCTCCGAAAACACTTCGAACACAGAGTGTTCAGATGCCAAGTGAGATTTTGGCGAAACGTCTGCAGGATTCCAGTCGGATGCAGGATTTAGAGTGTTCGAAGTGTTTTCGGAGCGCGAGCATTGAAGATGCCAAGTGCGATTTTGGCGAAACGTCTGCAGGATTCCAGTCGGATGCAGGATTCCAGTCGGAGTTCAACGAGCGAACGGATGATATCCCGGAATATAGTGTCATCATATATATATATATATATATATATATATATATATATATATATATATATATATATATATATATATATATATTATGACAATTGGCTTTCATTAATTTAGACAGTAGATTAGTAGACTACATTTTCAATGATTTACATAAACACAGTAGATGGAAAAACATTATCTCGAAAGACTATGTATTTATCTTACAGTGCAGCTCACTACTGCAAAATCCTTTTTGATGTCTCCATAAAAGGTGATTTTATCTAGAAATATTGATGCAAATTATTAGTCGGAACCCAAGAACTTCCCAGACATCTTGATATCCACAACCAATTTTGACTTACTATATTTCAATTAAAATTTGTATAATTGAACAATTAAATTATTAGATAAGATATAATAAATAACACAAAAACATAAAAGAAATAATCTCGTTATGCTGTGCTTTGAATTTTTTTTTATTAGTATTATGAAAAAATTGCAAGAAACAAAAGGTTCTAAATAAAACACTCAATAAAAAAATATATTTTTTGAAACATTGCATAAGTTTTTCCTTAAATTTAGTTAAGAAGAATGATAGTTCTAGTCTAATTCTATCCCGTCTACTCATCCAGAAAGTGTGGTTTTCTAACAGTAATACATTCCTAATATTCACCGATTCACTCTAATCACCGTTAATCTAAGAACGTTTTGCAGAAAACGGACTTTAAAAATCAACTTGGCAATTACGCCCATTGGTGGTCATTGAAAAAACTTGACAATAATTTTCAGCATTTTCTTGAGACATGCCGTACCTCGCTGCCTTTACTGGAACACTCAGTATTACTGCAAATTATTTTGATTTATTAATTTTATCGCAACGGGTAATACCACTCCCACGATAGTAAGGTGCCATGTAAAAAAGCTAATATAAAGTCAACTCTAAATTCACTCTTAGATTACGTCCAATGACCGATAAAATATCTATGAACATATTAAAAGAAGTATCGCCAATAGTAGGCTACGGATTAGCTTCAACACGTGGAATATAAATCCTATAGTAAACTTCGAGGGAAACAGATAAGTATTTTCAATTCATTTGAGATCAAAATATGTAGGTCGCAATAATAAATGATATTAGCAACAAATACAATATTTCTAGGTAAAGTAGATCACGGTGTATAAAAGGCAAGCAATTGAACGTTTTTCCAAAGTTGTTATTTCCGGCAGCAAAAAGATCAAAAACATGAACGCCATCACAGAGAAACTTTAAGAATAATTTGACTAACCATGGAAGTTTAAAAATGCTAAGAACAAATTAAAAGGACTTAATTGAGAAACATGAAATGCTATTTAATATTATCTACATAATAGTATATTTAACCTTAATATTGTAGATAAGAAACACCCTGCACAATATTTAGACTAGTATTGACAAAATTATAGTTATTTTAATGTAATAAACAAAATACGTCAATGATACATACAAATGCTCAAATTATTTTTATTTTAAATAGAAGGAATTGATAAGTGGATAACAAGATAGTAGAAAAGTATAAATCGGTATAACAGTTAAAGTTTTTTGAGTATTAAAGATCCTTTGCGAAAAGGAAAGATTATTAACAAAGATCTGTTCCAAATGTATCTGTATCAAAAAAATATATCTACCAAATGCCGGATATCCACATCTCATCAAAAAAACAATAAAATTTCTAACGGAACATTTTATTATAGATTCGGAACTTTCACAAAACCATAAGTAACTTTTTTGTTGAAATCTACGAATACCATTACCCTACAGTTTTTAAAATAACAATTATGTTATGTATGTGGTAATAATTTTGTTGAAAATCTATAAGAAAATAAAGTTTTTACAATTTTTTACTCAAAAATTATGTACCATCAAGAGTACGGACAGTATCTTCGAACTTTTACAGTACTTTAGTCACTGGTTTGGGTGCGATCGGATGTTTTCTGACGGTCGTGTGACTCACAGTCAGTGACTCTATTGATGCTGATTTGCAAAAATATATGCAAAAAGTAATGGTCGTATAAAAAGTATGAAAGGCAAGACGTTGATAAACTTCTTTAATCAAGAGTTCAAATAAAAATAGTGACTTAAATGGCGTTTATATAAATTCTTAGTCAGAAACACATATTTTTCTTTTATTTTAGGCTATGGATAAATGGCGATAAGTGGTTATTCAGGTTAAGGAAAAAGTATTCTTTTTTGGATGTTAATGATGGCGAAAATACTTTGTTCTTAATTCAATTTTATCTCACTATTTTAATATATCCTTACATTCATCTTCCACCATTTTTCGTGCATCTAGTTAAATTTAAAGAAATAAGTGCTTTTATTATGACGACGGGTGTTTGTAATTGAGGAAATGTATGTTCTGCAGCCAATATCGATTTTGAGAAGCAAATTTTATTTAGAGACACTTGACTTTTCTTTGTCTTGTCCGTTAAATCTATTAGCAGAAAACTGTAATAATAATTTTTCAATTTGTTTGGCACTTTGTGAAATCATTTCAATAATTTATCCGCCCTTATTTGCAATATATTTTACCTAGAACCTAAGAACTTAAAGGTTATATCGAAAACGTCAGATAAATTGCAATGATAGTTTTCCATATTACAGTTTACGTTAGTTTTCGACTATAATCGTTCCTAAATTACTAAATTACTAATTTGTATGTAACAGAAAGACGAGTTTTGTGAATGAAAGTGATATGGCAGCGGCGTTACTACCGGAAATTTATTAGAATAATAAATTTTAATAATAATTATATGATGATGATTGAGATAACTATTTTAAGATCTCCTAAATCAAAACTTTTATAGAGGTAAATTGTACCAAATATTCTAATTTTAAAACAAAGTGCTATTTACAATACTTCATTGGTAAGTTATAGTATTTGTTATTTATTTTTCACAATCCACTATATTTATTCTCTCTTGAAAGAGAGTTTCAACATCTCTGATTTTTAAAGTGGTGTCTCTATTCGTTCTCTATTAGAAGTTCCGTTTATTTTTTGTAACGAAAATTCATTTCCTTAAATATCTACTTATCCATGTGTGTAATGATCCCTTTTTCACTTCAGACATTATTTTGCCCAAGGTAGGTATATCTTTTTTAAAACGAGTGTATTATTCTCCTGACGGCAGTCAGAAGTAATTTATAACAGTTTCTTTTCTTGCAATACTTCTTTTTAGTGACCTGATGCATAAGTCGATGTATTGTTGACTGTCCAACTCTAGTCATATTCGAACACATTTGAACTATTTCTGCCACTACGAATTTTTAGATTTGATGTTGAAGGCCTTTAAACACATTTAGAATAATATAATTTTTTTGTCAATCTGTTTCTCAGAAACTATACCTGATCCTAATTTTAATTTTAAACACTAAGAGACAAATAGATCGACTACCTCTGCAGCCACTCTCATATTTTGGTATTATTAGCCTAAGTCAGAATTATGACGGCAAACAAGCCCCAAACGTTAATATATTTTATTCTTTAAACTTTGGAAAAAGCAAGACACGGTTTGTTCTCCAAAAATTATTATTTAATAACAAACAACACAGTTTAAATTACAACTTCGAAACAAGCCTTCCATTGGAATACACTTTTTTCCAGAACTTCATCCTATCAGGCTCGGGATTTCTGCGCATCACCAGGTTTGCAGATATATCTAAATACGGAATATTATCGCGGCAGACCGCAGGAGTCCAAATTACGTTTTCCAAGAGGGGATCTCGACATGGAGTCGGGTTTGCGAATTTCGCAAAGTTCGTCCACATTCGGACGAATCTCCGTTGGGCGGTGTCTTCGACTGTTCCGGGCGAGGGCGTTTCGGTGAGAAATGTACTGAAGAGGTAACCTATTTCGTCGGCGTGGCAAACGCCTGAAATTTAATGGAACGTTTTACTATAAGAAGACATAATTCTCTGACGACTTCTTAAAAGGAACCAAAATTTAAAACTAACTAACTGTATAATTAATAAAATGAATTATGATTAATTTTGTTGAATCAAGTACAAAGAAGACCATTGTTTATTTTGTACCGGGTAACCTGTAGAATCTAGAATCTAGAATCACTGAAAAATATGTTTGGATTAGGCAATTAATGTATTCATTTTTTATTAAAGAATACCATTTTTATATACTTTTTCTTTTAAATGTTGTATGGACTAAGTTAGGTGACATAAAATTGTCATAAACTCGGCATTTTTCATCATGTTTTGCCATGCTATTAATATTAGTTTTTGATCACTTTGCCTTTAATTATTTCTGAAATATGAACACAAACCACTAAAGTAGAAAATAAGGAAAACAAAGTATTTCAATAGGAGAAATCGACAGATCTTGCAAATTTCACTTTTAATATAAACTACAAAATATGTTAAAGACAGTAAGACTTGGGTAATAAAATATTATACACGGCCTCCACTTAAGGGCATGTCTTCAGCTGAAAATAAGAAAGAAAGTTCATATAAATATGGGTTCTAAAATCTTCCATTTACAAGGTGATACATTTTTAAAGGTCTAACCCTATTCATCCTTCAATTTAGAAACTTTCACGGCTCTTGAGTTTTTTCTAGAAATTGCGCACGTTTGCCGGAGAGTATTTTACTTACCAATTAAAAATCACGTTTAAAAGCTACCTAACTCTCGGTTGGTTCTTTTCTTCAGGCGTTCTGAAATTATTTGATGTTGATGACTCTTTTTTTTATGGGAGACTCGACTTATAAAAGCCTAGTGGTTTAGAACAAAAATAAAAAAATATATTCATGATCAATCTGCTTTGAAAAATATAATTACCAAATTCGGCGGAAATATTCATAGGAATCGGAAGGAACGTAAAAAAGAAATTTACAAACTTTTTACGAAGATTTTGAATAAGTCTCTAATTGTGTTTTTTTAAACTAATCTATGAAAATATGGAAACCATTCAAGTCCTAATTACCTACAGCAGTTACACTTTTTACGTTCGTAAATAGCTAGACACATTTCTAATTATTTTTGTAAAATAAATTTTCGGTCTTTCAGTAAACGAAACTTATAATTGAGTTTTGCATTTCCATTTCATAAAAAAGAGATAACATAAAATAAAAAGGAATAACATTCAAACACTAAACCATAAAAAAATAAATTTAGCAATAGACGCACATACCAAAACGTCAACTCAAACGCACATTTGATTTCGACGGTTTTTGTGAATTTCCAAACGCAATCATGCTGGGACTCTCGAGAGTAACCGCAGAAATTAGTAAAAAAATATTATGCAACAAGTGCGGTAAACGGCATTTAACTCACGATTTTTTAATAAACCAGTGAGTTAATATTATACTTTTTCCACGACCGTTAGTCTTTGGGTACATTTTCGCAAAAAAACACGAACATAACCGTCAGAATTGACAAACGTCAAAATTGAAAGTGCTCCCAAATCCATGCGGTAAAATCCCGGAAATGTCCAAAGCGGCTCGGATTCGTGGGACTTGACATAAAAGTGACTCTTCCCGCACGCTAGATCGGTGTGTAATTAGGTATTTTACAGACGGGAGTAGAAAGACATATTTTCATTATAAATTATTATTTTCATAACAGAATTAATTCTCGTATGATTGACCAACAAAGAAAAAGCATTACTTGTAAGTTACACATCCATACTTTCCTAAAAAGCAATAACGTATTGAACACAATAAAAAAATGTATAGCAATTTTAATTTTTTGTTGTTGTTTTTCACTTTTTTTCCTACTAGCGGTATCTACATTACTACTCCGCTGGATTTTTTATTTTTACCTTTATTTCAGGTGAATATTTGAAAGTTAGGAGTTGTACACCCACCTGGCAACTCGATGGACAATATCGCTTTGTAAAAGTTCAGATTTGTTTCTAAAGACATCTTGTACATATACACTGGAGTGGCGGAACTCCCGCCGTGATTTTGAACTGAATACAGAATTCCTCTTAGAAAAGAGTTATCTGTAGTGATCTGGAAAAAACTATCTTTCAGTTAAAAAGCTAAGCAGAGTAAAGATTGCTTGGTTGATGTCAGATACGGTTGGTTTGCATAAATCAATAAAAAAAATCTTCACTTCAAGGGTTTTGTATTGTTAGAAACACCAGAACCTGTAACACCTTAATTTAATTAATTTTAAGGAGGAACCGTGCATCTGACAACGCAAGAGGTGAAATAACTAGACTTTCCAAAGAAAATATTAAAAATGTAAAAATGACAGTGACGTACATTTTTTTTTCTAAACATCCCGGGCGGATGCCACTGGTCGAAATAAAATAAATTATTGTGCACCTTGTTACACATAACTAATTTAACAAATTTAGATAAAATATCAAAAGACATTTTGAAAAAAAACGTTGAAACCCTGTTTTTCACATGTATTTCACGTTTCTATTTTCTTTGTTTCTTATAATAAATGAATATAGGATAAAATAGTTGCGAAATCTATAATAAAGCTTGGTTTTGTGTACCGTCCTGCGAAACTTTTAAGTCAGTCCTTTCTAAATCAAATATGACACGAAGTTTGAAAAAATTTTAAAAAAATTACTATCTGAATTATAAGTTCAATTATTATATATCAATTGCATTAATAAGTTCTTCTTCGAAATATTTTAATAATAATAATATTAACATTTCTTTAAACATTCTCCAAGTAATACTTTACGTTGTAAAGCTCCTTGAGATGTGTCTCCCGCGATATCTTGCCAGTACCGAAATAGTAACGAACAATTTCGTCGCCCAGTGTTTTGGAGAGTGCGCTGCCTTTCTTCAAATACAATAACCCAGGGACATTATATTCTTTATCGATCCAATAGATGTCGTTTTCTTCGGGAGGCACCAACGAGTCGAAAATCATACCTAAAAAAAGGAATCGATAAAAATAACCCCATCACACGAAACACTATCGTGTGTCTCAAAGTATATCGTTTAGGCTTTATACGGTCCCTCCTCCAAAAAGTAATTACGACCTTCATATCTACTGTTACTGCGTAAACCCAATAACCAGTAATTTATTCGGATCCATTCATTCATTTATTCATTGAACAAGAAGCTTTAAAGGAAACCTCAATATTATCGATGAAGGATATTGTTAATAGCGAATTATTGAATTAAAGAAAAAAACGTTGCGATTTTCAATCTCATCGTCTAGATAATAGTGAACAACACAACAACTGTTAGATGTTATCTGCCCAGAGTGTTAAGGGCTCTAGCTTGGACTATATGAAGATCCGAGTTGCAAAACTAACCAAAACTTTTTGAAAACTTTCAAAATTATCTTTTAAGAAATATTGCAGATGGCAGTGTTGCAAGAAAGATTTATTAATTTGTTACAAAATTATATTGCAGGGACATGGTGTTTTATGTTTTGCCCCATATAACATAAGTCCATTGTACTTAACAGAACTTTAACTTAATGGCTACTCTGATAGTGAAACATAATTATATTTTGAATAAAAACTTAGTTATTTTGGTACTTATTCATACTTTGTATATATTTAGTGAAATGGTATTTTCTATTAGCACTAATATGATTTTATTATACCTAATCAACCTAATATAATATTTAATTTTCATATCTTTAAGACACATTAAAAGTTCGTGCCTGGTGCTCTATCCTACAGAACCGATACGATATTCTTTCAGACAAAATATGCCAAGGTACATACCATCTCCTGAGTTATATCCCACTAAAAATGGAACCTTGTTGTAATTGCCCGAGAGCAAAGTTTCAACAGGATGCTGGGTGAGAAATAATTCGCCATCTGTTTTTGAATCTTCCACTACTGCACCTATGAAACGAAACCTGTTGGCTTTAATAGTTTCCTAAAATTCATTATAATGTAATGACAAATATGGCATACAATCTTTCTACTACTAACATTTGAATACCATTGCATATAAATTAAAATAAGAAAAAATTAAAATCCGAAAGCCCAACACACTCATATTATTACATTGAAAACAAACGTTTTTAAATTGTTCGTCTCTCGTTCTCCCACATAACCAGCATGTGCCACTAGTAGTACCGAACAACCACTGCAAATTACTGTAAAAAATTGTTTTTTTCTATTTAATATCTGTTTTCTTACTCTGAAACCACCGTGTGTATTTTAAGTATTGGAAGTAAAAAACACAATGCATTCAAATATTGACAGACGCGTGTAATATCAATAGTCAATAGCAATATTTATTTTCGCTTTATTTTTTAACGTTTTTGTATTCATTCGATTCCAGGCGGACAAAATTAACTTTTGTGTTGTAAACATATTGTACAGTAGAAAAGACTAAAAAAAAAGCTACTAACTTTGTCAATCGCTTCTTGAGCTTTAAAAAGTTCTTCGACTGACGCTTTCAACAAGCTGTCAAGAATCTGTTTTTCGTCGGAATATGAAATTCCCATTTGCCTAGCCATGATTTCTCCGTTATTCATACCGTAAGCCCAACTACTTAGAGCTGAGCCGCTCTGACATATAGCTTTGTGAAACAAGCCTGAAACAGGGGTAAAATACATACATTATAAATTTTACCATTCAGGTCTTTCCATACTTTACCTTTTGCCATTGGTGAAAGCATCAGAAAGTGCACCGCTGCGGCACCAGCACTGTTGCCGAAAATTGTGACATTTGTGGGATCGCCACAAAATTTGGAAATATTTGTCTGGACCCATTTTAGAGCCAAAACCATATCCTTGAATGCCGCATTTCCTGGAACTCCTAAGGAGGGATCTTCCAAACTTAGGAAACCTGTTCGTATACTTGTCGGTTATTGAATTTACCATACCATAATAAAATAATAAGATTCTAAGAAGGATAAAATCTAAAATTAACAGCAAAAACCCCCTAATACCTATGCGTGCGCAGTTTGAATTAAGTTACTCCTTTAGGATAGTAAAGTGGAGTAACAACACTCGATCAAGTAATCCTGACCAGAAATTACTTAAAACACGTCATCATGGACCTTTCGATAAGTGCAGATTGAGGTATGAAACTGCGGATTTTAAAGAAAGACACGATGCAATGGTTAAAATTGTGCATCAGGGTTTGACGAACAGCCTGCAGCTTCTACAATCTAAAAATTATCCATAATGTACTGACAGTCCAAAATCAAATGTAGAAAACACTCGGTATAAAATACACCGGCACTGCAGTATTTCAAATAATAAAAGAAGCAATCACAATGTAATGCAATCACATTGTAATTGACAAAAAGGCTAAAAAAACTACTCTACTTGATATAGCTAGGCAAAATGGCAACAATCTGATGCAAAAGATTGCTTAAAAAATAGTAATAAACTTGGAGGAACAGATTTAACGAGAATAGCCAATACATCATCTAATAATAAAGCTTTAATGGATCAGTTTTAGCGAACAAAATGGGAAGTGTTTGTCGATTCAAATTCGCCCCGCGCTCTCTCATTGCCCATCGGTCATTCATCAACTAGGAAACAGAAAAATAGCCAAGCATTTTCATATCTATAATATTAGTTATGGCCTTATTATTCGACAAATAATTTTTTTCTGACATTCTATTTCTATAGAATTTAGTAATTACAGTGAAAATTCTTTTCACGTTGCTAATAATTTGGAATATTAAAGTATCAAGTTTCGTCCAAAGCTTTAATTTCTAATGCTCTCTTCTCCAAACATAAAATAGACAATAAAGCAACTTTGGTATTAGTTATTTGAGAAATTTATAAAAATACATAAATATTCAAATTCATAAGTTGTTGACATTCCAAAACAACAATTTTCCGAAAAATATCCGCGCTATATGCACGTAATTTTGCGACCAAAATACAAGATCTTTAAAAAGTTTTAGATCTGTAAAATTTAAAGTCCTAAAAAAAGTTAAAAAAAGTGTTAAGAGTATATAAATTCTACTACCAAAATAAGTGTATGATGTTTCAATAACGTTTTCATTGGATTACATGGAAAATTTGACGTTGAAACACTTTCTACGCTTCTATTTTGTTCTTTCTCAACTATTTCACTGTGATGACAAATCGCTCTTCCATTGTTTCCCTATCAAGAAGAAAGAATGTAATTTTTAACTTTTTAAAGGAACTCCCACAATCTGCTGTAATGCTGCGTCGGTTTTTGTTGACTCGCTAACGTTTCTCTTATTAGTGACAGACAGGTAAACACAGAGAGTCGCGGTTAAGATTGCTAGGTTGCTTTTAGATTTCTATAGTCTCTCGTATTTTTCGTTGGTAGAAGAATTGATCACGTGCAAGAATTTTTGTTTTATTGAATAAAAATTTATGTCCGGTTTCGTGATTGTGTTCCGCTACTGCTGATGAATTTATTTGTCTTAGTCTTAAGGCTCTTTCATGTTCTTTGAGCCTAGTTGATATTTTACGTCCGGTCTCTCTAATGTATTAATTGCGGCTTGTACATGGAATGCTGTGAACTCCTAACATCTCAAATGGAATTTTGTCTTTGACGGATCGAAAATATTGACCGATTTTTGAACAAGTGATATGTGGTCAGTAATATTTTGATTGTAAGGACGGACAACGTCATTGCTATTGGAAGGTTGTGGCGAACTGTATTTTGTGATGGAACGCTTAATATCTTCATGTGAAAATTATTAGAGAGAAGAGAAGAGGTAATGTATTTTAATTTTGTTAATTAAATGTTAGGCCAAATAACAAATGATATGATCGACGTAGCGTTTCCATAATTTTGGTTTTAGATGGAAGGTGTTGAGAGCTTTTTTCTCAAAGGCTTCCATAAATATTTTCGCCATGACAGGTGATAGTGGAGAACCCATAGCTGTTCCCGACGTTTGTTGAAAAATTATAAGGAAAATATGTCCAGAGAAGCATTTTTCAATTAAGGTGAGAAGGTTTGGTTCCAGATTCTCGTATTTTAATATATCTGAAATGATGGTGAGGGTTTCAGGAATAGGAACTTTAGTACTAAGTTGAAACTAACCAGAATATCTCCTGTATCTAATGATATTCTGCTTAATTGTCTGTAAGAATATCTTGTATCTGTTGCTGATATTCATTTGTGTTAATGACCACCTTAGAATTTCCTTTATCTGCTTGTAGGATTACAGTGTCGGGTTTAGATTTTAGAGATTATAACTGTTTAGGCTAGACCGATAAATAATGGTAGTGAAAAATAAACATTCCAAACACCCAAAACTAAATATGAGGAAGTAGTATTTAAAGCTAAGAGCGCTGCCACATATTTGAAATTTTAGCGGACCTTAACCCACACGTATACTACAGAATTAAATGATTAATTTTTTTTTAAATGGGGGAGAGTATGAAGTAATGTTATAATGCGTGAACATTTGCGAATATTTAGTGACCTTTCAGTCGGTGAAATAACTGCTAATGTAACCTAAGAGCGGATGCTTGTAGTGCTTGCTAAATTATCAGTGCTGTGGGTTAAGTTCAGCTAAAATTTAAAATATAATTAAGCTCTGTACTTATACGTATCGCAATGTATCTTAGGCACTCACCAAAAATTCCCAACCTATAGTTGATAACGACAAGGACGACACCGCCAGAAATAATAATCTCTGGTCCGTACATATCCTTTCCGTTTGAGCCTGACAAAAATCCTCCCCCATGTATAAAAACCATAACAGGTTTTTTATTACAGTTTAATGAATCTCGTGACACCTAAAAATTACATTGATACATAGGTACCAATACCAAAAATAAATTTGGTATTTACATGAGGCGTATAAACATTTAAATTCAAGCAGTCTTCCGAACCAACCATCTCCCCACTGAGCACATTGCCTTGTATCGCTTGGTGACCCATTTTAGTTCCGTCTCTGATTCCGTTCCAAGGTTCTGCTGGAACTGGCGCCTACAAAAACCCTTCTTTGATAGTATTCATTCTAATTCTAATTGTTTATAAGTTATTTTGCAAGACTCGAGAATACAGTTAATTTAAATATAAGTATAGATAGGGGAAGATAAAGATGTCTATCATGGGGATATAAATATAGAGACTGTTACAACTACGCGCAAATTTTGGCTAGTTTTTCAAAAATAATTTTTCACCTAACAGGTTTTAAATAATTCCATAACTAATAATCACGCTTTACTAAACTGTTGGTATCTATTACAAATATGTTGTGAACGTAAAATTTCAAATCACATATGCAACGCTATAGTTTTGAAAATATAAACAGTATTCTAAAATGTAATAATAAGAAACGATTGTTGCATTTGTACCTTGAATCGTAATTCACCCACGGGAGGTTTTCCATAAGGAATGCCCGTAAAACTATAGAATCTTCCTCCCCTTACATCTTCACAGATTTCCCCACGGATACTTCCCAATGCAGTCTCTACCACTGTATCTTCCATCCTAAAGAAAACTCTAGAATAATACAGAAATGCACATTTTTCAGTTAGTACTAAGTTTATAAAAAATACGGATAAAAACAATAGGATACTACCATTAATAAAAGTAAATTAATAGGTTTTTGTTTTTTTTTCTCGTATTCTCTGTATGATATGTATAAATTGACAAAGCATACTCTGAAAACATTTTTTTTACAATAATTTTTTTAATTAAAATTAATTAATAGAAATTAAATAATAATTATTGCTGTCAAAGTAAGTGATAAGTTTTTTACACGAAGTTGCAGTGTTTTTTTTTTAGTTAATCTATTTGAAACACAGAAACGGATCTAGTAAGTTATTTTGTGTTAAATGATAAGTTGAATTATGTACGTACCTCTCAAAGAATATAAAATAACGCAGAGCGATTTCCTCTCAGAATCTCGCACAGACCTTGAATTTGCCTTATCATTGATGTTAACTGCCATGCCGCGTGAACCTTGCCGCGTTATTATCGGAGTGTGACTACGATCAATTTATAAATTTACACCCACAGTATATCGCAGTTTATCTGAGATTCGGTCCATAAGGCATCTTTTATTTTTTCGTAATTTTCTGTTACACTTGTGCCTGTAATGTTCGAAATTTGTTTAAATCAAAAAATTCTTGAAGGAAACCTTGTTGTTACAGACGTGCAAAATATCCAAATAAACGCAAAAATGTAATATTTAAGGAACCCCATGGCGGTTTCAATATTATAACCTCGATTAATTAAAAAGTACATTTTCAATTTTCAATTCTTGCCAATTTCAAAAATTGTACCTCCGCAGTATTATAAACAGAGTCTATACTTTATAGTCCGCAGATATTCCATTATTTGCAGATGCCGCATTCAAACGACCAGCAGCAGGACTTTCACCTCTTTCAAATTTTGGCATGTGTAAAGGTTTGTCTTAAGATTCCTGTAGGTGCATAAGCTTGCCTTCGGATTCTCGGGTTCAACCGTGATTTATTTTCGGGTGACCAACGGCCACCAAACTCATTGGTCAACTAAAAGGGGGATTTCATTCCGGTTCCACGTTGACTGTAAGTATCAGCATAAGTAACCAAGTAAGTGAGCTTTTATTGAGCGGAAAATTTACACAAATTATGGTTTCATCGCTCATCGTAGACGCGTATCAATGTCTCGCCGAAAAAGCCTTTGGAGTATATTTTAATAAACAGTTTCCAGGAAAAATATAAAAACACGACAGTATAAAATATTTGTAATAAAATTGGAGATTAGATGCAAGCTGACATAACTAAATGACCTGCAGGAAGTAGACCAGTCGGTCAGATATTGAAAGGACAAGCAAGTAAAGAAAATTGGTAAAAACGATGGCCTGAGACGATTTGTGGTGATTACTGAACAAAATAATTGATCCCAAACATTTTATCAAAGTGCAATAGAAAATATGATATGGTCTGTTCATAGATATAAGAAAGTGACCAATTGCCTTTGGATGGGATAATCCGCGGGTGGTCACTAACATACATTGCAACAAGATTATTACCTAAAGTTTCGGAATTTAAATTCAGGTAAAATTGTGGTCCGTAATAGAAAATAATTTTATACCTGTGTTTAATATTCTTTGGTTTGGTATACTACTTAGTTTAAGTATATTAGTAATCATTCTTATTTTGTGTGTAGTACAGCGTGTGTTAAATTGTATGCGAATTATGCAAAATATGTGCGAGTCTACTGTATCTCAGGAGATGCTCCCGCCCAAATGTAGAAAACACTATTCTATTCAGACTAAGGAAGTTATAAACAATGTTTATTTAACTCTCATTGAACGTGGTGCCCAACAAGCAAGCATCTTTAGAAGAATCGACGACATTGACGAAAATTCCAACATCAACGGTATAGAAAATTGTGAATCATACCATTTCAGCGAGGAAAAAAAGAAGCGATGCTGACATTTTCTCGAGTGTAGATGAAAGTGATCAAGGTATAATACGGCGTAAAATTTACCAGTTATACGATACGAGATATCTTAATTAGGAGGCTTGAAAAAGATGAAACCGGTATTAAATGTGGCAGAACTACCTTATGGAAGTGTATTCAACACATGGGTTTTAGATTTAAAAAAATTAACAAAAGACAAGTTTTAATGGAATCTTTTAGAATTCGGAAATGGCAACTGGAATATCTAGAAAAAAATATTATTTACAGAGAACAACAAAGGCCAATTATTTACTTCGATGAAACCTGGTTCGACACTTATGATACCTCGGAAAGGGGTTAGGTTGACTCAACTGATAAATATTTTGCATGCTGAATCTAAAGATGGTTGGATTCCAAATGGACTTTCTCTGTCTGCGAGAAATATTAAAGATTCTTCTCTGGATTACCATGAAGACACCACCGCTGCTTTATTTGTAAGTTGGTTTAAAAACCAACTAGTTCCAAACATTCCTCTTAATAGCGTAATTGTAATGGACAATGCAAGTTATCACAGTAGACAGTTAATTAAAACCGCTTCCTCATGTGACACAAAAGCAACAATCTAAAACTACATGTATAATAACGACATTTATTTTCACGAAGATTATACCAAAAAGCAATTAATTGAGGTTCTACAAAGCTTGAACCTACAAAAAGAATACGTCTGTGATAATTATGCAAAAAATCTAGGGCATACAGTTTTAAGGCTTCCACCTTACCACTGTATATTTAATCCCATTGAACAGTTTTGGCATTGAAATCTGCCATTCGTCGTAATAATGTTTTTCCCCGTGTTAACTCCAATGTCCTCAAACTTATAGAAGTTTTTAACATACCTCAACAAAGTTGGGCAAATTCTGTTAAACATATAGAAAAAGCAGTACAAATAATAATTAGAACAGGCGATGATAGCGATAGTGATACTGATATATTATGTGAATAATTTTAAGCAATTTAAGTAGGTAATAAAAATAATTTGTAATTTTATTTTAGATTTAAACGTAAATACATACATAAATAAATAAATATTGTTTAGTATTTTTCCTAACAAAACCCCAAATAATTAAATTCTAAGCAAAGTACGGACCTGTTCGGCCATATTTCATTCTTACAGCTTGCCCGGGTCTTTCCTTAGTTCGTATCAGTTAGTCACTTTCTTATATCTATGAACAGACTTTACTCTAAATTACCCTAAACTATCATCTCATGGAGTTATTCACTAGGTATGAATGACACAAGCCTTAATCGCTTTAAAATAAGTGCAAATGCTTTTACTGCGATGACGTAGAAGGCAACGTTAAACCTAAATTTTTCGAACGGCCCACATGACGACAGCGAAAACAATATTTCTGTCCGGTTGATAGGCAATGCAATACAATAAAAAAAAACATGGAGGATTAAATTATGGTTTTCAAACGACGGGTCTCGTTTTTAAAAACACTTTTTATTGTTTCACAAACAGAACTATGAGCGTGCAATTCCAAAGCACATTTTACACATATTTATAATGTTCCTATGGGAACATCGAGTCGTAGATAGTGAGATTGCTGAAGCTAGCATTTTTTTTAGTTATCAGCATATTCAATCACATAATTCCACCCTACGTAGTAGCAAACAACAAGGACGAAAGGTTGTTTCCGGTCGTGCTTATTTTTCTTGGAATCTTGCATATATTTTCCACGCTATAACTATTAGCAAAATTAAAATAAAGATCATTCACGTTGAAGTGGCGAGACTCCAAATAACTGGATGAATTTCATAACCAATGTCGGGGATCGATAATTACGCAGCTTCTTGTAGGTTTTTGATTGTAACAATCGATTGTAGTTGCAGTGGCAGGTACTTTACGTCCTGATATTCTATATTTTTAACTATAATGGATGGCAGTGAGGATGGGTTTCCTTTAAAAAGTTCTTCTTTACTCCAAAGCTCATTATTTTGAGTACTTATATCACAATTATAAGGAACATGGATTATGCAGGCTTCTTTAATAAAAGCTATTTCTTTATTTCGACAATTATTTGTAATTTAAGTTTCTGTTGTTCCGAGGGTATTATCACAACAAATATACTGAAATCTGAGCATAATTGGGAACGCCGAGATAAGTAATTACTACTGTCACACAACAGTCTGTGCCCTATGCCATTGTTGTTTTCATTTTTGGTGTTAATATCTCCGCACCGTACTCACAAACTTGTATAATTTTGTGCTTTCAATACTTTGTTCTTTTTGAAAATTACAGCAAATGTGGCAAATATGAGAACCTAATAGGATCTTTGTGAAACAGTGATTCATATATATTTTACACTTAACACACTGGAAAACAGACTTACGGAAATTACTAAACAGAATTCACTATATTTTTTGGTACACTTAAATAGCTACAAAGAATGTTTGGGTAATATGTTTAAGTGTACAATGATTACAGGATATATAAGAAAACAATTAAGCTACAAGTTGAATTGTTCCTAGAAGAGGCATAAGGAATACTCATTGTCAACTACTCTCTATAGGACGTGCTTCTCCAATATGTTTTCCACTTAGATATTTCTTGTGCAATATATGGCATCTCAAAGTTATTTCAATATAGGTTAAACCAATGAGTTTATTAAAACTCTCGGTTTGTGCCGATTTACAAGCAAAAAAATCGGAAAAAATAGCTTACATGAAAAAATACATATACAAATTGCATCGTATCTATAGGGCCTAAATAACAAAAACACCAAATTAATTACAGAATTATAGGCGGGTACTGCAATTCTGCACTGCTTTTCCACAACTTAACTCATTTTTTACCTGATAATTTATAGTCATGTTGCATGTTGAAAGCCGCAAAGTCTTATGGGTCCAACGTCAGAATTAGCAAGTATACCTGCCATTGGTTAAAGACAGATTCGTTGACTAAAATGATTTTCGCAAGCGTAGGTGTCTTCAAAATTAGGTACAATTAAGGAGTGATTTACGGATACTGGGAAAATTTCCTTAAGAAAAATCGGAATATTAACGGCAAAAATTATTTTATCCTATGCAAATTTAACTTGTAAGTTTACTAACTGATAATAATTGTTTTGATTTTCAAAAATTAAAATTTGATTATTACCATAGACAACAGTCAATTTGAAAATTATTTGTTCTAATTCCGCGGCCGATATTACTGCAGTATGTCATGTGTACTAATTTCGCAAATATAATGGCCTCTTCTAAATTGTACAAAAATGTTATAAAACTGGCAATTTAGAATTATTTGAAAAAGTGTGTTATGAGCTTTAGTAAAAGTAGCAATGACAGTAACAGTTTTATTTAAATTATAATCAAAAATAATCTATATGTTTGTTAATATTTCCTTGATTTTTGTGTAGAAGTGTAATAGTGTCATTATGGTTGTCGATCAGCTGTTACATCGACTAGGTTTGCCATTTTAGTTGTATGTCAGATGAATGTTTCCTACGGACAAGTTCTCCGATGATTCTATCATATCATATTTTCTATCATATTATCTGAATCGAGAGTGCCAAAAAGCCATTTCGATAATATACCTACAGCATTTATTA